TGAGGTGTGGTTCTTTGTGTTCCTGTCTCACGTTCTTGCCAGAGGGGAGGGGAGGTGCGAACAGGGGCTGTCACCTTTGTCCTCCACACAAAGTCCAGCTGTCTCCACCATCACCCAACCCCTTGTGTTCAGCAGTGGCCCCGGCTTCCCAGGGTGCCCGGTTAGAAGTGTGACCACACAGCCTCATCAACACCCGGCTTCTCTCTTCCATTACAGTATTGCACTTTTTTGTGCTTCTTCCCTTTCCAAGGTGAATGCTTTCTGCGTGTCAGGCCTGGCACTTGCATCTGCCTCTGACATTCCAAAGGACCCCAGAAAGTCAAACAGGTAATGGTGACAGCACCAGAGGACAGGTAGAACAGGACTTCTGTTGAGAAGGGGCTGGGAAAGTGACAGGTCTCTGGCCACTGCTTCCTAGGGAGGCTTCCCAAAGTCAGGGCTTGATGCTGTGGATAGTTCCTCCTGCAGAGATGTTGCTGCAAAAAACCATGGTTCCCACCAGAAAGGGGAGTCCAAGGACCCTTGAAAACGCAGCCACAGCAGAAACCCCCAGAAATCCCTGAAGGTCCGAGTGGGGGGAGCAGGTGTGAGGTCTGGGCTAGTCTGTCTGCATGCTCGCCCTTGGGGAGGGCAGAGGCCCCACTCTACCGTGGCCACACTCTGACCAGCTCCTCCATCCAGGCCCTCTGGAAGGTTCAGCTGGCGACCTTCTGCCAGGGGCAGGTCCTCCATCTTCTTCCTCCCAGGCAAGCTGCGTTCCCCAAGGCTCTGGGCTGGTTGGCTTCACTTCTTGGCGACCAACCAAGGACTCTGGCCCTTGAGGAGGTGTAGAGAGGGTGCGTTTGAGAAGGAGGCTTACTGGAAACTGGCTCGTTATGGAGTCTTCTGGGAGCCAGAGATCCCCCTACCCAACTCCCTCAGTTGGGACTTGCCCTCCCTCCCTACATGTCCTACCTAGATTTGAGACAATAACATGGCCCAGGCTTGTCCTGCTGCAAGATTCTAACAGGGAGAGGAGCAGGAGCTGAGGAGGCAACTGTCCATTCCTAGCCAACTTGATCCTTTCTTCTCCTGCTGTCTACCACAGTGTCCTCTGTCCTCAGGACCCTGGCTGTGGTCCTCACTGAGCACTTAGCACACAGCTCCTTATATCGTTCAGCTCTGGAGGCCAGCACTGACCCTCCAGCCTCCTGCTTGTCCCACAGGAAGCACAGAACCTGCACATAGTAGGTGCTTTATAAGGCTGGTTGATAACTCGGCAGTCATGGGTGTGGAGGAGCCCTGACTAGGGGGAGACATTGAGCCAGTCCCCCAGGAGCTTCTAAATAAGAAAGCCCCTGTCCTCTTTGGTTCACCTAATTGGGAGGTGTCTCCCCCCATCTAATGTAAGGCAGAGGAAAAGAAGAAGCCTGAGTTCCAGGGAGACTCATCCAACTCAGGGACAAGAAGTATCTTCCCAGGGCCTAGATGGGCCCTGAAGGAAGGGTAGGAGGTTGACAGAGGGAAGAAGGCAGGTGTGGGGCAGGGAGAGTGCAGGGTGCGAGTATTTGTGTGGTGTGGGTGCAGGCTCTAGAATGGGGGCACCCTGGGGCTGAGGGCTGTGTTCCCCACCCAGCCTGCCTCCATCTATGTCTTCCTTCTGCAGGGGCAAGGATGTGGCCGGGGCTGCCCTAGAAGTAGAGGGCCCTCTGCACATGGAATTCCTCCTGAGCGCCCGGAGCAGTGTCCCTTCCCAGGGTGGCATCCTCCCCTCCCTGTGCTGGGAGGCAGCTTGGTTCCAGACTTTGCTTCCTGCAGATGTGAAGGCTGGCTCCTCTTTTGCCTTTGCTCTCTTCCTGAACTTCTCTGAACTGGTCACCAGAGCCTGCCCCTCTCTTCTGTTTAAATGTTGTGGAGTCTCAGGGGGCCTGGCAGGGAGCCCGAGCCTGGGACCGCAGAAGCCCAGGTTTCTCCTGATAGGACAGGAGGTGGCAGATCCTGCCAAGCCAGCCAGCGTCCCCGAACACTGGGGGTCAAAGTTTCATTGCTCACCCTCCCATAAGCTCCCGGGGTGGAGATCCACGTGGGGCGCATCTCTTCTTCCATCCTTGCTCTCAGGGAAGCAGACCCCATTCCCTTGCCTCCCACATGGCGCAGGCCCACAGGGGTTTGGTTATTCAGGGTTATAAGCACACACATGCTGCACACAGTTCCGCAACCCCACATCCATGCTCAGTGTGATAGCAGGCAGGTGACTCAGGTGGAGGAGACCCTGGATGCTCCGGCGCCCATGGTCCTCCAGCAGCTGACCTATTGCCGGAGCCAGAGGGTTTTGGGGTGGCAGAGCTGGCGGGGCCCATGGAGATCAGCCATGGAGGTCTAACTGCTGCCTCTGACACCAGGGGAACAGACCTGGAGTGAGATGCCCCGGGTCAGGTGGCTGGTTGGGGGGGAGACAGGGAACCTGAGTGAGTTTCTGAACTGGCTGGACAGCGCCCTTTTCCCTGAGGACTAAGGTGAAGGCAGAAGGTGACCTTGCCAAGGTGGGAGGTCAGGGTTAGCCCTGGGCAGGAGGGATGATGCCCAGCTACTCTGCATACTTCTCAACCTCTTCCTATGTGCTTCAACCTAGCCTTGAACTCACTGCGCACCCCAAGGTGGCCTTGAATTAGGAGTGCACCATCAGGCCTGGTTCCCTTCTTACCTCTAACTTTCCTGCACCGCATGTGACATGGAGTTACGATCCAAGGAGGGAAGTCTATGGTAGGGGAGGGGCTGAAGGAGGAGTCCAGGCGCCGCTCACTGCCTGTGACACAGAGGGAGGGTCCCGGCTGAGGGAGGTGGGCAACAACCATGTGGGGACAATGCCTTACGCACACAGGGCCAGACCTCAGTGGGCTGCAAGCCCCTGGATGATGGTGGCCTGCGGTGGGCTGTGAGGCCATGTCAGTAATGATGAGGGCCTCCCCTTACTCTGCAGGCTCCCCCCTGCCACTGCTGTTTCCTCACACTTCTATTTTCTGGCTTTTCTTTTTTTTTTGACAGTACTGGGATAGGACCAGGGGTCTTTGCCCTGAGTTACAACCACAGCCTGTTTTTTTCATTTTTAATTTTGAGACAGGGCCTTACTAAGTTACTAAATTCCTCAGGTGGGTCTTGTACTCATGACCCTCTTGCCTCAGCCTCTCAGAGTGCTGGAATAACAGGGCATGCACCTACTCCTGGCTTGCAGCTTTTCATCGTACAGGTGACTTTGTTGGCTGCTGGGGTGTAATAAGTGAAGGAAGGACACCAAGACCAAGTCAAGGAAAGTGAGGTCTGTGGTTACCCAAGGTCACTTGGAGGACTCAATTAATTCAGAATCTTGGTTTTCCGTCAGTGTTCCACTTGGTTCTGAGATGATCAGGGATGGGCGATGGCTCCATCCAGTGCCTGAAAGGGAATCAGGCAGTGGGTTCAGAAGAACCCGGGCACACTCTGATTTCTCAGGGCCTCTCCTGGGTGAGGAGGCTGGTGCTGGAGCTGGGTAACCCACAAGGTAGGCTGAATCCAAGGAGCAGAGCACATGGGCAGGCTGTGAAGTGACTTTTGGGGACCTGGGTGCTTGGCCTTTGTGGGTTCCTTCCTCCACAAAACATATATTGGAATTACATTGGACAACTGCCTGTAGAAAGGCAAATGTTTTCCTGGCTGGATTCATTGTTAGGTACTCTCTTTCTCCCTTCTGAATCTAAAAGCACTGAAAATATTTTGGGGCCCCGAAGAGTCTAACAAATCCAGCCTCTGTGGCCACTGTGCCTGACGGGAAAGTTGCCCAGGTTGGTCCTGGGAGTCTGGTCTCGGGGTGATCTGGAAAGGGCTGTGTCCTGGAACTCTCCCTGGATAGGGGAAGCATCTGGTGCCAGCTGGGGACTTAGGCCTAGATGGCTGCATTTTTCTGCCTTGTGTGAAGGGGTCGGACAAGCACATTTGTGTCCACAGAGATCAACTCTAGTTTAATGGGTTCACTCTTCAAATCAGGAAGCTGAGACCTGGAGGAGGAAGTGGTCTGATTTCCAGAATAACTGAGTGGACACTGAAAATCAGAATTCTGGGACAGCAAGAGGTCATGTGGGCTCACCCCATGCCAGGCAGGCTCTCGTGAATGTGAGGTCCTCTATTTTAGTCCTGTCTCTCTGGGATGGACAGAAGCCGAGTTCAAATTTCCCTCGAGCCAATTATAAAGAAAGTATGTATAAAGAAAACATAAACTGTCACCAGGATGAGGGGGGATTTAGACTTCTGGGTCAGTTGTTTTCAAGCCCTTTAGAAGCACCGATTTATGTTGCAAAACAGCTAACAATAAACCGTGGGCAACACCAGAGTAATACTGCCTAGTCATTGAAATAGGCTTCCTGACACCTTTATCACTGGTAAGCCATGTGCTATGAGTGGAAAGAGATGCAACTCGATTTCTTAAAAAATAAAAACAACTTCAGGTTGGCCTGTGTGGCCCAGACCTGGGAGGACTTCCTGACTGTCCTTCGCGAGTCGAATGGCAGGGAGCAGAGTCCCTTTGGCAGCTAGTTGTGTGTGAGCCCACAAATTGATAACTGTGGCTCAAAAGGGAAAAATAAATCAAGCATACAATCAAAATCTCTACCAAAATCTAAACCCTATAACCTAAAAGACCTTTTGTAGCTTTGGGGGTCCCCAGTTCGAACTGATCAAATGCTGTCATGATCAATTTGGAATAAGTTACCACAGATGTTGCCTGATCGAGTCTCCTCCTTCCCTATTTGGATTTAACATTTTAAAACGTTTCTCCCATACTTCTGAGGACCCTTGCTTCTGGGCCTTCTTGCTTGCACAAGGAATAATCTGTTTAGATGAGTGGTTAGTCAGGATAGTGAATTGTCATGTTGCACTTTTTTAACAAGGAAAATCCAGATTAAAATTATTCTTAGATACATCTAGTCTGGTAACCGTCTCCGATCTTCATGTTTATAGAAATTCACACATCAGCTAGCAGCTGCCTGCCTTCTTTGGCACCGGAGCACAATAATTTATTAAGCTTCTATATGTAATAAGTGTGCACAAGTACCATGCAAACATCAGGGCTGTACTCACAAACAGAAAGTGTATTAGAGACAGACTTACACAAAACATCTTGTAAACAAAAGGGGACAGGTGTTATTTTCTGTACAAAATATGCAAGTTTTTCTCTTTCTTTTAATAATCTGTAAGACGCATCATACTTCTGGCATTTTCAAAAAGTGAAAACTGTATAAAAATAAATATTCTATGTATAAACACACACACAGGCCAATCCAAGGTTAGAGGCATCACTGCAAAACAAAAGCAAAACAATGTACAGTTAGTTTCAAGGGGGTCTGTGGATGCTTAATTCCCGAGGACAAGGAGGTGGATCCTATCCTGAGTTGGATGCGAACTCTAGATAAGAGCACTGGGGAGTCATAAGCCCCACTAGCAGGAAGAAAACCCTGTGGACTTTTAAGTGCTCTGAGAGTGGGAAATTCCTTTTACCTTCCAGTGACTCCCCTTCATGGCCACTAGAGGGCACTCTCTGTACTCTGTCTTGGAGGCCGGCTGCTTCCAGCCAGGTCCCAGATGGAACTCAAAGGGTGTGGATCAACGAACCCGGAAGCTCTCTAGTTGCTTCCCCCAAAACTGTTTCTCTCGATAGTGGCTGCTGTTCCCTTGCTAAATTCAGGGATATTTTATCTTTTCACCATCAGCAGTAACCTTGAAGAAGAAATTTTTTCTTGGGGGCCAGCGGCTGAGTCCCTGGTAATGTGGAGCTTTCCATAGGTCACCAGGGGACCGAGCACGGAAATGAGGTGTGGAGCGAGAGGCACGTTCTGGAGGAGGCAGCTCCCTTGAGCGCTGAGCATTCTCTTTTTTTGGTTGGGAGAGGGTATTTCAGTTACCCAGACACAGAGGTGCTCAACCTAGGGCCTGGTCACTTCCTTACTTTCACCCAGTTCTGTGGGTTAATGAGGCTCTGAGCCTTGCAGCACAGGGAGCTCATCCATGTCACTGTAAGAATGGCTCCATTGTCACTGGCACAGGACTGGACTAGCTAAGCACAAACCTCGAGCAGGTTGGGCTCTCCAGCGTTTTAAGAGGACACGGTGATCATCTGAGACAATGTTGGTGGAGGGAGAAAAGAGGCAGCCCGGAAGGTGGGCTTCTGAATTAGCAAGCCCATGGCCAAAGGCTGGGGAGCCTTGCACTAGGGGTGCCATGTCTGAGTGGGAGATCTTGTGGAGGGACTTGGCCTTGAGGCTTCGGACTGCTTTAATGGTGGCAAGTGCCAAGGTGGATGGGAATCAACAAAGTCACTTAGCTAGCCAGAACTCTGGAAGCCTGGGAGAGACTGGGTTGCAGGTGGCATGTGTGCAAACACAAGGCCCCCGTGGCAGAGGTCCAAGGGGAGAGGGTGTGATGGGGAGCGAGCAAGCCCTCTGAGCAGGTAGAGAAGCCATGTGAGAGCCAGATGTGGTGGTGCACGCTGGTGATTCCAGCACTCTGGGTAGCTGAGGCAGGGAATTGCAAGTTCGAGCCCAGCCTGGGCAACTGAGCAACTCAGCAAGAGTCTGTCTCAGAAGAAAAAAGAAAGAAGCTGGGGATGTGGCTTAGTGCAGGGGCTCTGGATTCACTCCCTGGTACTGGGAAAAAATATACATACGAGTTTAGATTGTAAATAGTGCGGATATTCTCCATCGGGATAGATATCACTTGGCGTAAATGACTTCATCCGAATGCTATGAGAGTGGCTAATTGATAACCTCGATTACAACATGGCCTCAAACTCCTCAGAGGACAGGCGCTACCTAACTTTTTAAGAGTTTTCCAAGTGTGTGCTGCTGGGCCTGGGATGTTCACTGGGCACCCACCTCTGAAGGCAAAGTGCCTTTTCTGACCTGTGTCACGTTTCCTTATCAGCAGGAAGACAGAGGGGACACTGTGCGAGTCACATGGCACTGGTGGGGGGGCATCCACCTCTGCCTGAGCAGCACGGGCTCAGAGGAGCTTACCTTGTTCCAGCAGCCCTGGACCGGCAGGCCGTCTTGACCCTGTGGGGAGGAAGGGAGGCAGAGCACTCAGACTCTTGGCTTGGTCCACCAAGCAGGCAGAGCAGGGGTGACAAGGGCCACAAACAATGTGGCAGCTCATCAGGGTCAACCTGCCTGCCACTGGCTATTTCTTTTCTTGTTCCAGATCAAAACCTTGGAAGCAGGTGGGAAACAGATGCTGCTGTTTCCCCCTCAGCTAAGGTCCCATGTGGCTGCAGAATGGTTGCAGCACAAGGCCAGGAGAGGCTGTCCTAGCCTGCAGGATTAGCGAGCACAGATGTCTTGGAGGCCAGGTGAGGATGCTTGCTGCTCTGTGGAGTGCTGGATGCTTGTCACTCAGCACTTGGGGTTTCTTCTGTTTCAAAATCTTGGCAGAGGGAGATGTGTAGTGACATTCTTAGCTGCCCTGATCCCTCACTTGTCTCTCTTCCTAAGCACGGGAGGAGGACATCTAGACAGCCCTGGTAATGGTGAATTACTGGGTAGGGCTTGGGAGTGCAAAGGGATAGGCACTCAGCGGTTGGAACATGACCCAGGGTTGCCATCAGCAAGAAGACAGGGTCTGGCCAGGTCTCAGACATTGCTGGGAATTTGGGGGTAGAGGAGCAAGGCGGGGAGCAACTACACATGGTTTGTGGTACAGAGCACCCTGTAGCTTCGGGATGTTCTGCCCATGGTGATGGGACCTTCCTTTATCTTCTTGACCCTACTCTCCTGACTTCTGGCACACCAGGGGGAGCCTAGAAATGGCCTAGCAGGCAAGGCTGAACCAAGGGCAGAGCTCAGGTTCTTAGTCCTGTCTACAACCAAGGCAGCCAGATCCCAGAATTTCAGGCCCCAGGGCAGAGACAGAGCAGACTTAAGGGCTCAGGGGAGGAGCAAGTGCTCAGTCCTAAGGACAGGGAGGCCGGCCAGGTATCCTCTGTGGCCCAGACCAATTTCCCCACCCACACCAGGCACCTGACACCCTCATCACCTGGCATTCAGCAGGCACTGGCCTGACACATGGGTGGAAGAGGTCAAGTTTTCTTGTACTAAAAGTCATGATCAGTAGCTCCCCTGGCCCCCAAGTTCATAAGAATACAATGCAGGAGGTGGAATGAGACACAAGAAAGGTAAGCTATGGACCCTGCCGTTGAAAATTAGTAGGCAAATGACACATTGCTACGGGATGCTGTTGGAGGAAAGGTCACTTTGCACAAAGGGATGGCCTCTATTTCCCCACTGGGCACAGGGAGGTGGTGCATCCCAGTCTCCTGGTGACCTTCTGCCCTCTTCCCAGCCTGCTGTGCTGTGACACAGTCTCCATAGACTCTGGGAGGGACAGGAGCCTTCGTGGGCCACACTGCGTTCCCACTGGCAGCAGGGACAGTGGAGGCGGGGCAGGCAGAGAAGGGAAAGTAACATGCATTGAGAAGCAGGGAGGTTGAGGTAGGGGCACAGAACTGAGGGTGCTCAAAGGAGGGCCGGGATGGTGCACCAGGGAGACCCGTGGGGATTCGTGGAAACGGGCGCCCGGTACCTGCGGCTGGGAAGGGTACTCGTGCAGGCTGCGTGGCTGTTCACAGGCAGCCTGTGGCATAGATGTGTTCCTCTGTGTCCTTGTCCTGTGCTTGCCTTTTGTCACACATGATGGGCCTACAGAGTCCCTAGTGCCCTCCAAGGGGCTCTATGGTCACCCACATTTTCTTTCACTGCTTTCTCTCCCATTTAATTCTTGAGTCACCCCAGAGTGGGGCTGGGAACTTTGGTACAAAAATAGTTCCTGAACCCCAATCCTTCTGGGGAAATATAAGGTGAGCAGGAGCCTTGGGACTGGTCCCCTTGGAGCAAAGTGTCCCCTTCTGCTTCTGCTGCAGTTATTTAAGTGGATCATGACCAGGTTTGGAGTTTCCACACCTGGAGAGGGACTGGACCAGGTGGGAGCCGACTGCTACCTCTCAGCCTACCACAGGCTTGCAAGAGGTGTTCTTGCCTCCTCATTAACTGTTTGTCGCCTTTCCAACCCTCCGACTCTTGCGTGGTGAGCCACCTGAGGATGCAGGAAAGGGACACCAAGCAAGGGTCCCGTAATGTCTTCTGAGATTTAAGCAAGGAGAACAAGGCCCTTTAGGATCTGAACCCCTGGTCTTGGACTGCCCCTTAGTTTTAATGGTGTCACCTGGGCAGTGGCCCAGGACCCAACCTGGAAGAACAGGCTTGGTTCTAGAACTCCGCAGTTTACCCTATGTCTAGAACATGCCCATCTGTCCCCAGCCAAACTGAGATGTGTGTGGGGTGGGATGACTCAGGCATTCCTTCCAGCGGCGTGTGAAGGGTTTACTGGGTGCATTCTGCTCTGACTGCATGGCATGGAGGACAAGAAGTCGTGCTTCTAAGAATCTGACCAGAAGATGTGCTTCCCTAGTTTTTGTCTGGTGGCAGAAGTGTCTAGAAGGATTGAAAGCACTGGAAGCTTGCTTGGAGGATGGGAAACCAGGGCCCGGTGTGTCAGAAGGGAACATTGACAGGAGGAAGCCAACACCCCAGCAAACTTTGCATGCAAAAGGGCAGCAAGCCGGGAGCCCTCAGAGCACTAGGCTGGGTGGCCCTCGGTGTCTACAGAGTGAAGAAGCAGGAATGGGGACTGGGTGGATGGAGCAGGAAGCACATGGGCCTAAACCACACACATGGGAAGTCCAGACTGGTCATGCAGGCAGGCAAGGTGATGCCATACCAACGGGCATGGGGCATCCAGTCCGTCCAGCCCTGGTAACCCCGGCTCCCCTTTCTCTCCTTTAAAACCTCGATGTCCCTGTTTACAAAATCAACCACGATGATTATTTAGATCAAGGGTGGCCAGTTCCCACTGTGCAGTGGAGAGGCCCAGTCCTAACCTGGCTAGGATGCAGGAGCCTCGATAGCCTACACTTAACAAATAAGGCTAAATCCCAGGTGATGCCTTATGTCCCACGTTCAGCCTCTGTGCCAGTAGAGTCCAGCCAGGGAACACATACAGCTAGGCTCCTCTGCGCTGACCCCCACTCTTTACAAATTCATGGGGAGCAATAGCAGGTAGCTTTCACTTCAATGCACCATAGCTTTCAGAACCTTTGGATGGATTGAAAAGGAACTTGAGAGCCCTGTCAGATGTGGCGTGACTCATTAGTTACTGGCTCTTTTGGGGAGGGTTCCTGTGGGTGACCTCCTACCAGTTTGTGTCTGTAGCTTGCGGGGTTTGGGCTGGCTGGTGGGCATTGTGAAGCTGTGTATGAAAAGCCTTTTGCGTGGCCTCGTTCTGCCCGGCACTGAGCATCGGTGGCCGTCAGGAGATTCTACTCTGGCGTCCTGCATCTTGACCAAGTGAGGATTGAGACACCTAGAACTGCTGGCCATAGAAGCGGCCACAGAACAAAGAAGGCAAATCGTGGCTCACAAATGCTCCACTGGTTTCCAAAGCCAGGCTGGAGCCAAGTGCTGAGGCCTCCTCCAAAACCCTTTCCTCGTGGTTTCTTCACTTCCACGAATCAGCTGTTTTGCATCTTCAAAGAAAAAGGATTCAAAGGAAAAGGATTGAGCCATAATTGTTTGCAGCTGGGGTTGGAAAGGCAACACCCACAGCTGGCAGAATTTCCAATGAGCAAACAGGCTTTGGTAGCATCATTGTAGTCATTTGGTTCTCATCTCAGTTGATTTGCCATCTTTGTTTCCAACTTGCAAACCCCAAGGAAAAAACCAGAACGATGCAAGTGAGGAACGAAAACATACCAACGGACAGGGGGCATCCAATCCAGGTGCTCCTTGGTCTCCCTTATCCCCTTTAGGCCCTCTAGAGCCTTTCTTCCCCCTCTCCCCCTGTAAATAATGGTTTAGTCCAAGGGGGAAAAACAAACATCAAAACTTTAGGATCATTCATGTGTTAAGGTTAGAGACAGAAAATGAAAAATAAAACGAAAGAGGAGAAAATAGGTTCTCTTAGGATATTCTGCCCAGCAGGCTTCGGGTCCATACCCACCTCTTCCCTTAGGCGCCTAAGAATTTAGCTAAGCAGGGAGGCTGGGAGGTGGACTGAAGACACTGAAGCCCAATTTTGCTAATACTAAGCCCAGAGAGGGTCTGAGATGAACTGAGCAATGAGGGGAACCACCTTCCTTCTCTTTGAGGGCCTATTTTGAAGGGCTGTGGGTTCACAACATTTTGTCTCAGTTAATTTTCAATGATATTCTACTAGGGGTCAAGGTGATTTTGTTTAGAGTCTTGGGTGTGTGCCTGCCTGCATACGTGTGCAAACATATCATGGGTGAGCATACACACCTACATGCCTGTGCATGCATGTGGGTGTGCGCTTGGGTGTGTATATGTGTGTGTGTCTGTGTGTGCACGTGGGTATGTGTGGGCCTCACCTGGATTCTTCCATTTGACATATGTCTCTTGTTCCTCCTGGTCGAAGGTCACAGACAGTTGTTTTTATACATTTTATTTTATTATAGAGAACTATGTGTATATGGACATGGTGGTTCATGGAATTCACTTGTTTCAGGAAACCTCCAGTAAATGTCATCTAAACTGGGCCTTATTTTCTAAAAGTGTTAGGGTTCATTTAAGGAAGGGGTGCAAGAAATTGTTCCAAGTGAAGCATCACCACCTTGTAATGAACTGGAATTTGGATCTTCCTGTGCCCTTCCAAAGGGACCAAGTGCACCCGTAGGGGGTTTCCCAGGACTCTTCTCTCTGGAAGGTGGTATCTCATGCTTGGGGACTTCCACAGAGTCACTTAGGATGACAGGACCTGAAGGTTGTGGTCACAATAAAGGCTCGGAGTCCAAGCTGGTTCTGCCAATTCTAAGTAGCATGATTTTGGGGGAGCGACTTAACCTTTCTGAGCCTTAGTTTCCTCCACCTGCAGAGTGGGTGCAGTGACACTGCATCAGCAATTTGTGTGAGGTTTGTGTGCACATGAGTCATGTCAGTGAGGCAGAGGGCATGTGCTCAGTGGGTGACAGTTGCTTCCTGATGATGATAATAAGGGTGTCACTTCTCGTCAGCCAGAGGAGCTGAGGTGCCACCAGAGGGTCTGAGGTCTCGTCATGTCTGCGGGGCTCTGTAGGGGAAGGCTTCGGGGATCAAGTTTGTTAGAAGGAGGTAGACATTAGGAATACTTGGTAACACCCAATTTCCCTGATGATTTAAGTGCTAGAAGTTTCCTTGGATCCTTGGAAATTACCTGAATTTCTTGATTCTAGAGACCGTCTGCCATCGCTAATGCATTATTCTAAACAGATTTTCTAAAACACCCATCCTCATTTAGAAGATGACACATGTTTAGGAGGAAGCATGCATACGCATCGGGAGTGTAATTCCGTCAGCACAAAGGCACGTCCCCTAGGGAGGGCTGCAGGGTGGCAGTAAAGCCGAAATGGTGCATGAGCCATTTGGATGGGGAGCTCATGGGAAACGTCCCCAGAAGGGGGCCCTTCATTCTCAGGTTCCAGCACAGTTTCTTAACTAAGAAGGTGGATAAAGCTGCCACAGAGCAGGAGATTCCCAGGCTTAGATGACTTGCAAGGGGGTAAAAGGATGGACCACATGCCCGGCTGCCCTCCTGGTCTGTGGTGCACCCATGACCCAGTAGGTTGCAGCTTTCTGAGGGCCTAGCATCTTCCCAAATTGGGTGCCCTTTGAGGATGTTAGGGTAGTGGCTTTCCCTACCACCTCCCAGCCTCCTGCCCAGAGATGGGCACACGAGAGGCCCTGCAAGAGGGAATTCTAGCTGATAAGGGGGAAAGGGCAGGAAAGTTGAGTGCAGAGGTTTCTTAACTGATAAAAGCAAGGGTATGAAGTTGATTTCTTGGAAATACATCAGAGGGTGGGGAGGGCAAGGGAGAGGATGAGGGATGTGGGATTATAATAGGGTGAACACTTTGGGGGGAAAGATGAAAGAAGTAAAGGAAGGAAGTGGCAGGCCCAGGCCAGAAGAGAGAGGTGTGGGGAGAGGAGGAGACCAGGAGGGCTGAGAAAAGCAAAGCATGTGCATGCACATACACACACACCCACCCACACACACCCCAGACCCAGGCAGGCATCTCAGAGTGGCCTCAGACCTGTTCAGTTGGCTGACTGCTAGGCAGTTCCGCGATGACACCCAATTTTCCTGACAACCAAAGTGCTGGGTTCCTCCCACCCTTTATCCTCTGACCGCTATCTTACCCTACTTGTGGTTCCTGGACCAGTTTCATAGGGCTGCTAAGAGACAAGAGGGCTTCCCTTAGTGACTAGGGCAGAATGGCCTTTCCACTGTCACATGTGTCCTCAGCAATTTCCTGTTTGGGGCCTTTGGCCTTTGGGCTCTACCAGGAGGAGCTTCCTACTTTCCTGAACAGGAAAGGGGCCTTCCAGACTATCCTCGGGTGGGACACAGAGCAGCATAATTTTAAAGTTGTGTTGTGGTTCACTGGAAGGTAAAACAGATCTCTGATGGGGTCCCTCGGGCATCATGAGGGCAAAGATAGGGGGCTGCCTACAGGGAGTTACCCTGCAAAGCTCAGGTTGGGTGGGGGCTTCAACATGCCTGGCTTCGTCTTCTAGGGGAACAATGGGGCTTTTAACCAGAACTCTGGCTTAGCCCTGGTGACATTTTACCTTGACTAAAGCATCAAAATCTTGGCAGAAAAACAAAATAATACACATCTTTCCCTGAGTCTCCTTGGGCCTCTGAAGGCTTATTACGAAGTCCTCAATTCCTCCCACAATCCTGACAGGATTGGTGGCAAACAAAGGTGTGAATTAGGAGGACAGACAAATTTCTTGGATGAAGAGAACAGCTCTTCCTTAATTCTGAAAGCTTCTCTTTGGCAAAAGCCAAGTGGCTCTTTATGTCGTACTTTGTGTAACTTCACTGTTTTCTGAACTTAACTTTGAGACTTATTCTAACTTACGCAGGGGTGGGGAAAAGTGTGTCAATAGCAGCAAGGAGAAATCCAGAAGAACTATTTTCGTACTAAGTCCCAGGGCCTCGGTGGATTATTCAACAACCTCGATTCCTCTGGCACCAGTCACCAGCCAATCCATCTCTTCCTCCTCCCTGCATCTGTGACAAGGGTATCTTGTCTGCCTTCCTCCACTTCTAGAGCAAAGTTGTCGCTGTTGCTAGAAGGACTGATTTTGCAGTTTCGAACAGCTCAATGCCTTCAGCCAACCAAAAAGGTCTCAAGAAATAGGTTTTGAAAATATAAAGCAAATATAATAAAAACAGATATAAGTCAGAAAGGAGGTTAGCATGCCCCTGAAGAGGTGGAATGATCACATGTGTCTAGGCCTAAATTCCTTGACGCTGCCCCAAGGAAAGTGGCTTCTTAGCCTTGAAAAGCTGACCGAGGATCCGGAAGAAGATCTGTTTGTTCCAGTACTTCTAGAGTCGGTCTTGCCATGGGCAATCTGGTTGGAGTGGTTTTGCCTGCTCCTACTGGTTTACATAATTTGTGGGACAAATTGAGTTTCTTTAGAAAGCCTCCAGTGAGGAGTACTTTGAGATAGAGAAGCCCTCAGTAAATACTTCTTAAATTGAAGAGAATGACATGAAATTGGTGTGACATATAAACGTACAGATTCTGGCACTGTCTGTCCATGAACATGGTATCAACATTAAAATATCAGTCACGAGAACTGGGTTCTGGAATCAATGTGTTCTACCTCCAGCTCTCTGGGGGAACTCAGTACATTTTATCCTCATTCTGGACATGTTTCTCCATCTGCTCCTCCCATTCTTTCTCTTCTGAGATCCTGAGGTTTTCTGACCCACCAGCAGATGGCCCTGGGCCTCTAGGGGGCCTGTGCCCCACAAGAAAAACCAGTGTGAGGAACGCACAGAGGAGACGTTCTCAAAGGACCCAAGTTATTTCTTGGTCCGATGTAATTAAATTATCCTTGCTGTGCCCACATGCTCAGGGCCATGGCCTGTGTCACAAGCCATCATGTGGCTGTGGGTGCTGTGGCCGTTCAGTGCATTCTGGTGAAGATGGCAGAAACCAGAGGGAGATCAAGAGGCCCAGAAGGCACAGTTTGTTTCAAAGTGCTGCAGACTCTTTTCAAGAGAAATAGCAGCCGTAGTATTTTTTTTTTAAGGCTTGGCTGCTTACAATAGCTTTCTTCTTGTTCTAGGAACTGGAATTTATTTTCTTGCTCACCAGTGGCCTGGAATTCCTGGCAAAACTAACTTTCAGAAGGCGAGGATGAGGTAATGATAGATCTGAAAATATCATTTAGGGGCCTATTATCAGGGCAACATGGAGAGGACTGGACACATAGCTCCTGTTACTGGATGGCAATGTTAATCTAACGGCCACTGTGGGATTTAGCCTCCCTGGAAATGTGGAACAATACACACTTCAATTTTAGGATTAGCCCAGGCTCCCTGCATGCCATAGAGTAAGCCCCTTACTATAAACCCTTTCAATTTGGGATGATTTATCAGGAAACACTATATTTCCATGTTGGGTCAGGATGCCCCAATCCATCATTCCACCCCATCATGAAAACATTAGTAAGCAGGGCCAAAGTGTGGGGGCTCTGACTTACCCGGTTTCCTTTGTCCCCGGGTGGTCCGTGTAAACCCTGAAATAAATCAGAGAAATGAAGACATGTTAATGAGCAAATGCGGAACAGCCAGCCCCACAGCTTTCCAGGCTCAGAAAGCTCTTTGCTGATGCCTACCTCAGTGGAGACAGGCTAAACCATCCCCATTTTGTAGAAGGACCGATAAGCAAGTCCCCTAAGGGAGCTGACCTAGAGGCAAAGGATGAGTTACAAACAAAGCCAAGAACACGTTTCTGGTTTTCTTGCTCTCGAGTCTGCATCCTGGTCGTGTTCCTTCGAGGTCACTAATGCGGATGAAGGGTGGGTTCTGAGGAGGTGGCAGGCAGGCACGGGATGGCCCTGGCAGAGAGAGGAGTGCTCTTACGGCTCTCCTGCTGGGCTCTTGCAGGCTAAATGAGTCCTCAGCTTCTCAGACCCTCTTGTGAGGTGACCGATGGCCTTGGGAATGAGCATGAGCGGAGATGGCTCTGCACTTCCTCCTTAGGCAACATGTTAACAGACCTTCAGGCTCATTCAGGTGGACACTTGGCTTTTACAACGAAGCGCCACACAAACACACTGCAGGTAGAGCTCAGTCTGCTCCCCAAGGTCTAGCTCCCTTGGAAAGCTGCTTGGGTTTTGGGGTGTCTCCTTTCTGTGTCTTGGAGATCTGGACTCGATGCTGCTCTTGTCTGAGGGCAAAGGAAGTGGCCCAATTCACCTGGGAGGCCCCATGCACCGACACAGGGGCTCCCGAGTGTTGTTATATCTTGTGGTTTGGTTCCTTAGGCTTAGCATCTGGTCCCCTGAGAGTGTCCTTGCCAAGCTCCAGGCTCTATTTTGCCCTTATTTCTAGTGGGTATGGGGAGGGGATGGAGGGAGGGAGAGAGAGAGAGACAGACAGACAGACAGACAGACAGACAGACAGACTCTGGTCCCATGGGACTCACAGGAAGCCCAGCTGCTCCTGTTGGTCCTGTCATCCCTGGATCTCCTTTGCTGCCCTGAAATGAGAGAAAGAAGCCCATGAATACTTCCTGATGGCAACAACTTTCGGTCACCATTTTCTTTTCTGGCACAAACCCTGGGCAACCTCTTCAGCCTCCTCAAAACCCTCAGAAGCAAGGGCTATGTGGAAGGCTGGGGGCTGCTGATGCTGACCGCCCCCAAGGGGCTGAGATCCCCATCATTCTCTCTCTCTCCAGTGCAGCCTGTCCCCCGAGACTTTCCAGAGGGACTGGGTATATGGGCTGGGAAGAAGAAAGGGAAGGACAAGACGGCTTGATGTCTTCCCTGAAGCCTCAGGGCCAGCCCTCAGAGCAGCCATTTGCCCTCTGCCGGTGCTGCCTACACTCCCCACTGCATCAGCCCTGAGTGCAGTCAGCGAGGCAGGTGGACAGAGAGTGTAGCTTCCAGCAGGCAGACAGCCCAGTGGGTGCCCTGGGGCCTGCTGGGAGGAGGAGGTGAGAAAGAATCACGCTCTCCTGCCTCCAAAGCTGCCTCCCACCACCCTCAACCTCACTTATGGTTGTTCCACACAGGATGGGCTGGACCTCAGGGTGAAGAGTGACATGGCCAGGGCCACTTAACAGGGACCAAGCTTAGTGCTCTGGCTTCCCGACTTCTTGTTGTCTTCTAGGGACCTTCTAATAACCACAGGGCACTCTGTTCTGTGCTGGCCCCTAAATCATTGTAAGTGTGAGTCCAGGTAGTGACAGCAGAACTGGCCTTATCAGGCTGCACCATGACAGCTGCTAGGTGAGGTGGAGGCCGTGTCTCATCTTTCCAAGTTGCTGCCCACTCATGGCCATAGGTCTGCCAGCTCCCATGGGCTGCTGTGGCCGTGACAGATGCAGGGAGGGATAAGGGATTAGACTCCTGGGCTGAGGCGATGACCAGTGGGCTCCCAGTCCCAGGCTGGGGTTGAAAAGGATGGCCGGACCCCTCCCTCCTGGCCACCTGGGCTCCCAGAGTGCTCACCCTCTCGCCCTTTGGTCCTGCAGGGCCTGGAATGCCAATTGGTCCTGGGGTACCCTGGGAGGGAAAGAAAGCAGAGGTGAGAGACCAGGTTCTGGGGAGCCCTGGGAGTCCTGCCCAACACCTGGAGATGAGCGAGGTCCAAGTTTTCAGGGTTGGCGAGGCCAGGCGTGTTCAGGGTGGTCATGTGACTGAGTTGTGATCTTTTTTGGGTTTGAGGGTCTCAGAGGAAAAAGCACTCCTGCCTCCCTGCCCAGGGCCAGATTCAGGGAATGAAACCCTTTCACGTCATAACCAAGCTCACCAAGGCTGAAAACAATAGGAGTACGGCCGCTTAGTTTGCTCCCAGAAGCACTTGTGAGGGAGGTGACCCCATTCCAGGACAGCGGCACCCCTTTGCTGTCGCAGCTCCACATGCAGCAGGAGGGTCTTCATGCCACAGAGACCAATGCGGACGCACACAGAGGCAGGCGAGAAAGGGTCATTCAATAGCACTCACCCTGCCACCCCCCTGTGGACCTGTCCCTGGCTTCAGCCTCTGGCCTGGCCTTTTGTTCCCACCCCAGGCCTGGAGAACAGGCTGGAAGGGAGTGGACAGCATCCTGGTGTCTGCATAGCACTGGTCTGCAGGGAGGTGGGGCAGGAGGTCCAGCAGCCAGGGCAGCAGGGAGCTGGGGGAGGAAGCCACTGGAACGGCATTGCTTAGAGACCAAGCAGATGCTGTGGCATCATCAGAGGTCTTCCCCAGGTGCCCATGTGCAGGTGGACTGGACCAGGTCTGTATTTCACAGCTCCTGTTTCTCTGCCTGTGTCTCTGTACCTAACTCAGATGAGGATGTGGGGTGCAAGGTGTTCTGAGAGCAGCTGTGAAAGCAGGGCACAAGCAAGTGGGAAAAAGCTGACTTCCTTCACATGAGGGAAAAAAGCCATGAGCCATTCTCTGTGCCCCCTTTGCAGCTATGAGGAAGAAGGGAGGCCATGGGCATCCATAACAACAACACAGTTAAAAGCCAGAGCCAGACCAGGCTCAGAACAGGGCTCTAGAGCCCCTGGTCTGGGCTCCAGGCATCTCAGAGGCCCCAGACTCTTGGATCCTGGTGGAGTCCCCTAGCTGGAGTGCCAGGTCCTCCCGGTATAAAATGAAGGGTAACTTGAGTGTCTGCTCCCAGGCGGCCTCCAGGTCTCAATGCCTGGTTGTTTACTCTGTTACTGCAAGCCACCACATCAGCCCCAGGCATCTCAGCCCCCAACCCTCCCTTCATCTGCTCATCAGAGCCTCATTGCTAGGCGGACCATGGGCCAACCTGACCTCGAAAGCAGCCGCCAGGCAGATGGGGGATCTGCTGGCTGGGAGGGGCTGGGCATACACATAGCTTGTGTGGCCCCTGAGCAGGGAAGCCTGGCCTCCTGGACCTAGGAAGGGAGTGGTCCCGTACCATGAGAAGTGACAGTCTGATGTCCACATGAATGCTCAGGGAGGGGACTGAAGGTGCAGAGAAGGCCACTGTCTCAGGGGCCTTGGCTGTTTGCCCCACAGAAGGGCTGGCACTCCCATGAGGAGTGGAGAAAAGGGATGCAAGGGCCCCGTCCCTGCTCTGTAACACATCCCCTTGCTGGGCTGCCAGATGGTGGTGGGCCTCAGCAGTGAAAGGTCCATGGGTAAAACATGTGCATGGGACGTGGAGCTGGAACTGGCCTCTGCACCCCACCCACACCCACCAGCAGGCCGCACAGGACTGGGAAGCCCCCACGGGCAGACAGGAGATGGACAGAGCTCACAGCATGAAGACAACACAGCGGGACAGGCACACAGACACTGGTGTGTTTGCTGGGGACTCAGCTGTCCTTCCAGGTCTGGGACGATGCCTGCAGGCCCAAGGCTCCTGGGTCACAGGGAGGATGGGGCGCTCAGGCGCAGGCTAGCCCTCTTTGGCCAGGAGGCCTGACAAAGCGCTCTGATTTGAGCGTGGATGGGACCTTTCTGTCTGTGGTGGGGACAAGGCATGACTCACTGAGGAAACGATGCCACAGCGGGACAGACAAGAGAGATCACAGGCTGGGCATGGGGTGGGGTGGGGAGGAGTGGGGAGAAGTGACACTCACCGGTGGCCCCGGCCTGCCGTCCAAACCTGAAGCTCCCTGGACGAAGGGCACAGTTTGACCAAAAGAAGGAGAAGGGAGGAGTGGGAGAGAGAGAGAGAGAGAGAGGGACAACGGGAAGGGAAGAGGTGAATAAGCATGACTCTGGACAGACACAAATGCTGGCATCAAACACGATGGGAGGGTGAGCCTGGAGGACAGGGAGTGTGTACATGGAGACCAGGACGACACGGAGACACCAAATGCTGTGGCCGCTGCTGAGCAGGCTGAGCAGACACCAATGAAGAGGCTGCTCTGGTCCTCTATGCGCCCCACTCCCCTTGTGCTGCATCTCAGGAACCCTCACCCAGGGGGCCTCAGGGATCCAGGGATAAAGGAATCCTGGGAGACATCTGGACCCAGGGCTGTGCACTTTCGCCTCGTTGAGGACCCAGGTAAGGGGGCCTTTCTCAGCCTCTTGTGCGCTGGTTGAGACCAGGCCAGACTGGTCCCCTCCCTCCCTTAACCTGGTCAGCTCTGAGCTCCAGCATTTGGTTTGGAAACCTGGGCAAAAGTTGGCTGGAAGCAGTTGGCCCCTGAATGAAAATACTGACTGTCCTTGACCTTTTTCTGGCTTTTTATCAATTGCAGAACCAACACAAACTCAGTCTGTCCATATGCTGCAAACAGGAGCCCTTTTATAGAAGAGGCCTTGGAAGCAGCTGACTGAATCACAGGTCTAGGGCCACGTACCCTGAAGGCAGCAGGAGTCCCCTAACTAGTAAGTACTGAGTTCCCAGAAACTACTTTCAACTGGGCTCAGAGGTGAGCCTTAGCCTCAGGATTTTCAAGGCAGAGGAAGTCTCTGGGAAAAGAGGCCAGGGAGCTGATTCCTCCCAGAGAAAGAGAATTAGGTAGAAGGTTTGCCAAGGCCTTGGTTCTCAGTGTTAGGCCCATATTGCTCCGGGACTGCCCTTGATCCTACAGGCTACAGCTGAGGTTCTCAACTCCAGTGCACATTGGCATCTTCTGGGTGGTGTCCCACAATCCAGATGCCCAGGCCCCACCACAGCTGAATTCTACCACAGTCCCCAAGAGTGGGACGTGCCTCTATCCAAAAGATACAACTCAATAGAGACCAAGGTCTTTCACATGGCACTTTTTGTTTATATTTCCTGTCTCATCACGGTCATTTGCATATCAGCCCCTGACTACATTCTTTGACATTCACTGGTGTTGTTTGGACCATGAAAGTGGATGAAAACAGATTTGTGCTTGGGGGAGACAGGAAGGAGGAATTCATCATTGCAGACACAGCTTACAGTAAGGAAAACGTCTGCTCAAGTCATCAATTTTTTTTTATAGTTTGTCGAGCAAAATATTTCTACATTGGTGCATTAATGAGGGTGTAATTGTACCTTTTGCGTTGGCTGTGATTATATTAACCAGATCTGCAGAGCTGGGGTAATTGGTTTCCCATTGTTGTCCTATCCTTTATGGCTACCTGGGGTGGGGACAGGCCTGGAGTGGGGGATGGAGGAAGACAGAATAGCTGACAGGATCCCCTTTGCAAGGATGTGGACTCAGTGGGAGAGCAGCATCCGGCTCAGTCTGTCCGCCAACTTCCTATGTGACCTCAGGTGACCACTGGTGAAGTGAAGAGCTAGGTTGCTAATGTCCCTTCCAGCTCTTAAAAACTTACCCCAAAGGGTTCCAACCTCAGTAAGGTATGATATGCTCACCTGGACACAGGTGAGGGATGACGAGACTGACCACGCAAAAGGATGAGGCAGGGCCAGTCCAGCCACTACCTCTGGACAAGCAGATGTCTCTGAGCAGCCTGAGCCACTGCCCAGGGCCCTTCAGCTCTGCGCAGGCAGAGCTCTCTGGGATCCTGGGTAAAAGTGGGCTTAGCCTGCCGGGACCACAGAGTATGACTTTTACATACTTCACTGCTGACGCTAGTGCTTCTGAGGACAGAGCAAGGTCCACTCGGGGGTCTCTTGGGAAACGGGCGAGATGGAGGAGACCTCACTGCTCTACTGTTCCCAAGTCTTCCACACTGGGCCCGCGTGAGGCAGACTTGATTGCCCTGACTCAGGAACACTCAGGCTCCGAGGCTGTTCCTGGGTCCCTCTGCCTTTCCTTCTGTCCTCCTTAGGGTAGGGACCTTTCCTGTTTAGTGTCACATTTTCCCAAGGCCTGTTTTGGGGGAGACACTCAGAAAATTAAAGCCTGCAGTCTTGCCCAGGTGGGAAGGGAGGCCACACGGGGCCTGGAACACTCAGAACCCGGACTTTTCAAGCAGCTTTCCCCTCAGTCCCTGGTCAGGGTCACCCCAGTGGGCTCCTCACAGTGGTCTTGCCGGGGCCCAGGTACTTACGGGTAATCCCAGAGGCCCTCGGTCTCCTTTTTCTCCCTGGACACCCTTCTCTCCTTTTGCTCCATCTAGTCCTGCTTCCCCCTGAAGGAGACGGAGATGGAGGCGATCACAGAAGGGCATGACCCAGACAACTCATTCCCATCTCATCCTGGTTTGTAGAACAGGGAGGAAGTGAAGGTGGTCAGGCCAGCAGTGGCAGGCCGGGGACACCGAGAATCCCCGAGTCACTAGCCTGTCTGCACAGTGAGCATCTCCCGTAGCAGAAGGGGAGAACAAAGTGGAGACAACACACAGGGCAGTTCTGGGTCAGGCGGGACCCTGCAGGATTTGTTGGCAGATGCCTGAAACACCACCATCAGAGCACAGGAAGAAGAAACTCCCCTAAATTCCCTGAACAGTGTTGGGACAGAGGGTAAGGGCCACTGTTACACCGCCAACTGCCAGCCCCTTTTATTCTTTGGCAATGCTTTGGGCGAGGTCAGAAGAGCCCCAAACCAGAGGCCACGGGGATTGGCCCTGGAAGGGGTCCTGTGCTACTCTGCTGTCTGTTTTTTCTCCTGTACTTCAGGGTGAGGGTCTGGGGCAGGGGAGATGGGAAAAGGGTTTCACTGTTTTCTAAGAATCTAGCCTGTCACCACACAAGTCAATGGATGGATGGGAAAATTCTGTGTCTCATGAATGCCAGGTGTCAATGCTGGTGTCAAAAGGAGTGTGGGACCTTGTTCTGCCCCAGTGGCACCCTCGACTGGAGCATCACACAGGGTCACTTAGAGGGCTGGGTCATCTGGGCCACCGAAACGCTTTCCCTCTTTTCTGTGATCCCTAGTCCAGCCCCCCTCTTCTTCCAGCTTGTCCCATGACCTCTTCTTACCTTTGGTCCAGGTAGACCTTGGAGCCCCTGCATTTGGAATGGAAACAAACTGCATTAGAACCATGTTCCTAGTTCACTTCCCTGCCCATGGGCTGGCCCCAGAACAGCTGGGGTTTGAGTGCAGAGTGTGGAATGGGGTCCCTGCCCAAGACAGGTAGAAGGAAATGCAAAGAGGGGTACTGCTTGGGGCTCCTTGGGGTACAGTTGGAGCCAGTTTTCTTTAGCCAGAAGCAAAAGAAAAAATTTCTGCGACCCCCATGGCTGACCCAAGATCTCATGAAGTGAAAAATGAAGTAAATTAATGTATATAAAGTGTTTGGAATAGTGTTGGGCACATGGTATGTTGCAATAAATGTTGGCTACTATCACTGTTGCTCTACTACTTCTACCCGTGACGACAGGCGACACAGAGTACCATGGGGTCCGTGAGCCATGCACAGGTACAGATGAGCATGTGTTGGATTAGAGCACATGGGGCTCCTCTAGGTACAGAGCGAAGGAGTCCCAGGTTACATTTCTGTAATCACGGGAAGGCCAACCCCATGGACTGGTGTTAATGGGCCACTTTCTATTTTAATCCTGTTTGCTTGCCAGCTGGGTAGCTGGAAGGAGGAAGGGGAGGAGCAGGTGTCTGACAGCAAAGGATTAAGCCAAGCTTGGAGGGAAAGCAAGGGCTGCTATGGAGGTCAGCTGTTTCCAGAGAATGAGCTGTTTCCACAGGCTCCTTAGTGTCCCTGGGATGTTTAACATGGGAGGGGCTTTAGGGTCGCCCCATAGTGGGCTGAACTGCTGCTGACAAGGCCTCCAAACTCACCGGAGGTCCAGGAGGCCCCTCTGGCCCTGGTGGCCCAGGAACCTAGAAGCCAAAAGGGATCCCTGTTACACTCCATGTGGTTCTCCCCCTGACATGGTCCAGGGTCCTCCTAAGGCCACAGGAGGGCAGGACCCCCACTGGAGGCCAGCCCCAGACACAATCTCCCACAAGAGGCTCAGGCCAGGACAGAAACTCATAGTAACCCACTGGCCTACACAACATTGAAAAAAAAATTGCCTGGGAATGTTCCCAGAACATTTATTCCTCCAGATTTCTTAAAAAGCTGGAAAGTCTAGTAGCACTAGATTCAGGCCATGTCCACGCATGGCAACAATTGCCTGGAGGGGAATAAGAGCTTTTCCCTCCAGGTGGGGCCTGAGGTCCTTGGTCCTCCGCGGTCTCCACCACTCCCTGCCTTCTCTTGCTCAGACCTCTGATCTTCATGTGCCCCATGCCTGGGCCTTGTAGGCATTTGAGTTTGAGACCCTTGGCTTAGAGGAGCAGAGACTGGTTATCTGGAATGAGGGGAAGCCGAGGTGTTTTTGAAGAGTGTTCTTCAAGTCCCTCAGGTCTGTAACAGCATGGGGACCATTTCACTTGAGGGCTGCTTGCAACAGAGGAGATTCAGACTGGACAGTGGAGGGGGAGGAGCCGTTTCTCTGTAGGGTCTCTTACTGCCAAACCAGCTTCAGGGTTCTCAGGTGCCTCGGCTTCCCTAGGATAGACCTCCCTGGAGTGTGGGCTGGCCAATGAACCAGCTGTCAGGCCGCCCTGCAGTTGGCAGGCAGTCAGACCCCTAGTGTCCCTTGGGCCTCTGAGCTTTTCTGCTCTATAAGTCTCCTGGTAGGAAAAATAATCTTTGGAAACTCTACCTTCCTTAAAAAGTTTACTTTATTATAAGAAATGGATTATGGTAGTGGTTATAGAAATCTACACATGTACTAAAGTTCACAGAATTGTACATAATCTTCCCAAGTCAATTTTTCCTATTTAATAGTTTTAAAACTCAAAAAAAAAATAAGTTAGACACATTAAAATATTTTATAGAAAGAGAATTAAAATAAGGCAAAGAATAAATCTCTGATTTACCTAGCTGAGAAGCACTCCTAATATTTTGCTTTCTTTCCTGCCACATTTTTATGCGTAAAATATGTTGAATATATGACGATTCATAAATATAATTTGGTTTTTGTTCTCCTTCATTTAACATGAGAAGCATTTTCTCAGGTTTTTTTTGTTCCCCAGAAGCTTCCTTCCATGGTGATGTGCTTGGTCACCAAGGGAACTGACACTGAGTCACCCCCTCACCAGGGAGTAGAGCGGCGCTCGGCACGCGGACGATTCTTAAACATGGCGACTGTTATCATTAGTTGCAGCATTAGCCAGAGTTATTTTCCTTCTCGTTACGAATGTGAGCTGTTTCCAGTTTTCACATTAAATATTTCTGGGAAGAAGATTTTTGTGTCTAATGCTTCTCCTGCACTTGGGGACATTTCTTAGGAGGCTCCCATGTCTAACATGTTACTCATGGCCGGGGATCAGATCTGTCTCACTACATCAGATGGGGCAGATGGGGCTGCTGATATGAAAGGGTGACAGGGGCCAGGGAACAGGGCATGGAGGAGGCTGGGTAGCCTCTCCCTTGGCTTTAAGGAGCATCTGATGGCCAAGTCTTCCTCCCACTTGTCCTTGCTCTGTGGCCTCCCTAGCCTTCTCCTCTGAGCCTACAAATATACCTGCATCTCTCTTTCTTCTGAAAAGCTCACCTCTGCCCCATCTCCTCTCACTCTGCTGTTCTCCCTTCTTCCCTTCACTACCACACTTCTCAAAGGATCAGTGCTTCTCCCTGGAAAGCCTTCCTTTGACATTTCTACAAAGCCATTGAGACTGCACAAATGGCGCAAATGCTCGCCTGTCCCAGCGAGTGCTCATCACTGGGGACTGCGAGCCACTGGCAGTGGTTCTGTTCATTTTTCTGTCTAGACACTGGTGGCAGGACCGAAACACTGTGCTTGCTCTGTAACCCTGCAGACCCTGCCCAGCGGGAAAGCCTGGAGCAGCAGCCTTGGGGCTCGGCGCCACCCATGTGGTACTCAGGAAGTTCCAAGACCTTCAGCTTCCTGCCCTTCCTGGGGTCAGGCAGCTGGAGTTTGATTCTGGAGCACAGAAATGCTAGGCATCCCAGAGAGACTCATTTCTGATGAATCTCCTGTTAAATGACCATCTAGGACACAAAAGAAAAGCAGGTGTGACCTACCTCTGCTCCTGGGTCACCCTTCTCTCCAGCTTCTCCTTTTTCTCCCTGTGGGCACAAAACATCAGGATATGAGTCCTCGGGGCCTGGCACAGGCCCACCCTGCACATCTGTGACAAACTCGACTGGCCTATCCTAGGCATGGAGGTCGTAGGCAGGTGCTGTGACCCTGACTCCAAGGGCCTGGGCTCTAGCCTTGGCAAGAGGGGCTGGTGCTCTGAATGGTCCCTATGGTGGACCTAGCCTGGGGTGCACCTGTGACTTATTTCTAAATCACGGAATAGAGAACATGGCAAAGTTGATGGCTGTCATTCCTGTGAAGGTGTTACAAAACATCATATCCATGTTCCATAAGCAAAAACACATAACATGTGCTTTGATTATGTTGCAAATATGTTGCATACACATGTCTCCATCTTGATAGCCCTGGGTATTACATAGATGACCTCTCTGTCCTTGGCCTTGAAGGAGTAAGCTGAATTGCTTAGCATGAGGAAGGCCACCCGGCTGGGAAATGTAGGCGACCTCTAGGAGCTGAGAGACTCTCCTACTATGGCAAAGAACTGAATTCTGCCCACAGCCAGGGAGTTGGTAAGAGAACTCCTAGCTCCAGAGAAAGGCACAGCTGGCCAGCACCTTGACTGCAGCCTGGTGAGACCTGGGGCAGGGTGCCCAACCAGGACACCTCAGTACCTCTGACCTCCCATAAATGTGCCGTTCGAAACTGCTAAATTTATGGTGACTTTTTAATGCTCCAGTAGAAAATGAATAGGGCTCCGGAGCCCAGAGCCTCAGAGAGGTCACGGAGGAGGCTGATGGGGCAGCAGCTACACCACACCCATAAGTGTCCCCTCTGTCTCAGAGCCGCCCACCATGGAATGGGAGTCGCCTGCCTGTCCTGGCACCGGGTCAGATGTGGGACTGGATGATCCCTAAGGCTTTTCCCACTTCCAAGGCAGGGATTCTAAGTCCAAAAGCCCACCACTCTGGGACTAGGTAGGCATCTGAAGACAGGACACTGCTGTGCTCTGAGAAAGCTGGTCTCTGTTCAAATTCAAATGGAGCAGCTGCTTATCAAGAAGCCCCCCAGGCTGGGTGGAGGGCTCAGGGTTAATGAAGCCTCCTCACAGGATCAGGCACCCCTAGGCTGATGGCCTGTGAGGAGTACCCTTGCTCCTGCACCCTGGTCTGCAGCTGACTGCCAACACACTTGCTGCCCGGCCCTCTCGCCTTACTGTAAATCCTGGGAGCCCGATGGGGCCAGGCAATCCTGTCGCTCCAGGCCTCCCTTGGTCACCTGGTTCTCCTTTCTCCCCACTTGGGCCATCTAGACCCTACAGATCAACAAAGATCCCCGTTAGAGAAGCTCAAGGTCATCAGCCGAGCATGTGACCCTGGCACAGCCCCACCCTGCATGCATGGGTGGCTGCCCTCCTCCAAGGCTGGGAGTCTAGATGGTGCCTGTTTCATAGATGGAAACCACAAGAAGGCTCCCAGGTCAAGATAGCAGCCTGGTTGGACTCAGCCGAGGCCCCTTTACATACATGCAACATCTCCTAGGGACAGGGCTTCTGCATGCTTTCTACCTGGCTATCTCTTTTTCCAGTGGCCCATGAGGTACACAAGAAAGGTATATAAGAAGGCATTATTATTATGTCCAGTTTCGAGATGAGGAAACGAAGGCCCTGTGAAACTTAGTGATTTTCCCAAGGGTACAATAGATGAAGATATAACTGGACTCAGCTTTCACAAGGCAGGAAACTGTCCTTCATACAGTGAGTGGCTTGAGGAGAAATGGAGTGAATATCCTCCTTCATTCCCCTAAGTCCTAGGTTTCCACCCTAGGCAGCAGCTGGCATCATGCAGACCCAACATCAGGCATGAAGGTGGCACATGAACCAGCAGCCCTGCCACTCACCGGTGAGCCTGCTTGTCCAGTCTCCCCTTTCTCTCCGGAGCTCCCTGGGTATCCAGCCTCTCCCTTCATTCCTGGAGGTCCATCTTTCCCCGGAGGCCCTTGGAGACCAGGGGGACCTATGTCTCCTGGTTTGCCACGAGGTCCCTTAGAAAATATCAATAGCACTTCTCAGGTACATTCATGGAGAAAAGAGAAGACGGGGGAAAGACCAGAAATGATAGGGATGCCTACAGCACTTGGCTTTCTGGTGCTTGATTGGAGCAGGCAAAGAGAGCCCATTGCAGGCTGGCCCTATGGTTCCCTCTTTTCCTGGTCCCCACAGGGCTCACAGCCGACCTGTTCCAGAACCTTCTGGTCCCTTCAATCCTCAGAGCAAGGCTTGTCTGGAGGTGACTCCTCTTACCTTTTCCCCATCGTGTCCTGGAGGGCCTGGTAGTCCAATCTCCCCCTGTAGCCAGAACAACTAACAGTGACTCTCAGAGCAGAGGCAATGATAATGGTCACCTATGCAGCACTTCCTGGGTGCCAACCAGCCTTCTCTGCACTTTCCCACAAAGCACGGGCATTTTATCCCGCAGTCCCGAGAGGTGGGTGCCATCACCTGTGTCTGCTTTACAGACCAGAACACAAAACACTGGCTATGCAGGCCCACAGTCTGTGACTGGAAACCAGGATCTGAGTTTGGCAACCTGGCTCCATGGTCTGTTTTTCAGCCATCACCTTTGAGCCTGCAGTCTTTGTGAGCCCTGAGCACCCCTGAGCTTTGTCTCCTCTTGTCCTGCTCCTCCTGTCTCAGCTGCCCACTGGGCCCTCCCTTCTCTTCCCACCAGCTCGAACTCTTTCCTTAGGTCAGGGTGGCAAGGGCAAGAGGCCTGACAAAATGGTGCTGGTGTTTCCAGGGGAGCAGGGAGAACGATCAGTTCTGCCTGATGGCTCAGGGGAGGCCTTGAGTTGGACTCAAAAAATGGAAAGCCTGGAAGGTGGGGAAAGGACTTGAAGGCCAGGGAGCCTCCCCTGAGCAGAGGGGAAATATGAAGACAGAGGGGTGGTCTTCCTGAAAAAGCTCCAGGATGGGTGGGCATAGGAACCAAGGGAAAGCTATGGTTGGGATGTGTGGGACTCAAATGCCACCCTGCACAGGGGCAGCTTGGTGTTCCAATGAGTCTGGGGATTCATCTCCAGGCTCTAGCACCCCTGAAGGTGAACTATAAGACCCCAGATGGACGGCGGGGAGGACGGGTATAGCCCTGGTAGGGGTGGAGTGAAAGGACTATTGTGGGTGGCAGGGCCCACACGCTCTGCAATACCTGGGGAGATGAGGGGTGGCCCTGGCGTCATGTGTTCAGGGTTGCTGTGTCCTGATAGGTCTTTACCCGCCCCCCTCCCGGAGGCAAGGCAAGTGTTACCTTCTGGCCTGGACTCCCTGGAGCTCCGGGTGGGCCAGTTTGCCCGGGAAGACCAGGAGGCCCCTAGAAAAGAAAGGAGAGACACATGGCAGAATTTTTCAACTAGAGGGTGGCCGTCACTGGAGGGCTGTGTGTGGAGCCTGGCTTTTAGAAAGGCTGGCTTACAGCTGTGTTCAGTTGTTTCTTCAGTGGTAGAAACACTTTACTTTTTGCAAAGGAAATAGCAAGGGGAATCCTAAAATAGGAACAGAGAACCATTGAGTGTGTTTGGGTTGAAGAGAGCAGGCTGAGAGCCATGACCAACAGCCTCCCCTCACTGTCCTGAAAATGTGACTCCACTTCACGAAGGTCCAGAAGACACATGAAGTCCACAGAGACAGAAAGCAGATCCATGGTGGCCTGGGGCCAAGGTTATGTGGGATCACCTCCTTGGGGTTTATGAAAGAACTTTCTGCAGATACATGGCATTTGCATTTGTGAAACTTATCAAATTCTATATTTAAAATGGGCACATTTTACTGTGAGCTATACTTAATATTGGTTGTAAAAGAAAAAAAAAAGGCTTCCAGGAAAATTTCGTTTCCAAGATAGTGGACCCTTGAGTTATGACTGGCCTCACATATGAACTGCTTGGGTTACAAGTGGAATTTTAGTTTTAACTTATTACCAAAGTCTTCAGTTATGACCCAAGTGCACAGGCTTGTGGGGCTGTAAACAAAGATGCAAGATGCCAGAAAAGCATATGTAAGTGTCAGTCTGAGCCTGTACATGTCTGTGGACGTGATTTTGCTCAGTGCTTTATATAATCACTATGATTACTGCTATCAAAATGGCCCAAGAAAGGCTAGAAGAGAAGAGAAGGAAAGAAGGGAAGGTAAAGAAAGCAATCACATTAAAAAAAGAGAAGGGAATCATGGAGAAATATGAGAGAGGTGTTTGTGTGAATGATCTTGCTAATATGTTCTGCATGTCAAAATCCACGATCCCCACAATCTTACAGAGAAAAGACTTGTAAAGGAAGGTAGTGTTGCTAAAGGTGTTACTCAGATTACTAAGTCATGCTCAACAGTGTTAGACAAGGTAGAAAGGCTATTACTAGTGTGGATAAACAAAGGGTAGATGGCAGGTTATAGCCTGAGTCTATGTATTTGTGAAAAAGATCAGTGTAAATGCAGATCTCATAAAGGATAATCCACCAACAAATGGTAATAGTGAAATAATTCATAGAAGTAAAGGGTGATTTCACAATTTTAAAGTGAGAACTGGGGTCATAGCATAACTAGGCTTGGTGAAGCAGCCAGTGCAGATAAAAGGGCTGCTGAAAATTACATCCACCACTTCTAAATAATGACATAGAGAAATGGCTTTTGCTCTCATTGAGTTTTCAACTATGATGAAACTGGCTTTCTCTGAGGAAAATGCCTAGGAACACATACATTACCCAAGAAGAGAAGAAGATGACAGACCACAAGACTGTGAAGGATAGGTTAACCTTATTGCTATGTGCCAATGTGAGTGGTGACTTCAAGACAAAGCCTCTCTTGGTTTATCACTGAAACCCCTACAGTGTTCAGAAAACATAAAGTCAGGAAGAATGGGCTAGAGGTTATATGGAAACCTAATGCAAAAGCCTGGATAATAAGAGTACTTTTTTTGAATGAATCAGGGAGACTTTCTGTCCTACTTTTAATAAATATGGGGGGGACAAAGGTTTACCACTCAAGGATCTCCTTGTCATGGACAATGCTCTTGCTCACCCACAAGACTTGGAAGAAGAACTGGCCAAAGAATTATCATGGTTCTCCCATTGAATACAACTCCTCTACTGCAGCCTATGGACCAGCAGGTTATAGCTAACTTTAAGAAGGTATATACCAAGGAACTGTTTTTGCAGTGCTTCCAGATGTTCTCAGATGCAGATTTAATCCTTAAAGGGAGGGACATTATAACTTCCTTTCCCACGTAGGGTTAACTGAGAAATCCTGGGCCATTGTCTCTTTAAGGACACAGAGATATGCCTAGAAGAAAATGTAGCCTAAAATGATACAGAAGAGAGACTTTGAAAGCTGTGTAGAGGAGCCTGGGGCTTCAGTTAACCCTGTGGTTGATGATGCTGTCACTATAGCAGAGTCCATAGGCTTGCGGGTAGACAATGGTGTTGTGAGGAACAGGTGGATGACTCAGAGGAATGATGTACAGAGGAACTTCAGCAACTGAACAACAGAGAATAGCAGGCACAGGGCTTTTTGAAGAGGTGGGGGAATATCAATAATCAGTCCAGCAAAGTTCTTCTGAAATAAAGGAAATCCTGAGAAAATGGACAGAGCTACAAACATTTGTAGAGAAGACCCACCCAGACAGAGAAAAACCCAATTGTTGCATTCACTTGCTTAATGACAATGTCATATTGTACTACAAAACAATGTTTTAAAAAAAAGAGACAAAAATAGGCAAACTTACACCAGTTTTTTGTTCTGAAAAGGTTGAGACTCAGTGAGCCAGAAGCAGGTTCTAGTGGGCTACAGACTCTCCCAAAGAGAGAAAGGACACCAGAGAGCCAGATTCCCGATGTTCTTATGGAAGGGAGCTCTCCTTCCAAACAAAAACTGCCTTCCATTTCATCCTCCCTTCCTCAAGCCAAAGATGTCAACTTGAATGGTGAGTACAGTATGAAATTGTTGTTTCTGGTGAACGAGGCAAATTTTACAACTTTTTGGTGAATACACTAGGAAAATTATTGGTGTTTCTGGTAAATTATGCACATTATGCAACCCTTTTTTATTATGAAAAGGTCAGTTAAGGAGTGCTTTGGGAGGTTCAGAATGTATTAGGGGTGTTTCTGTTATTTTTGGGAAAAATAATCTTGACTTACAATTCACTTGAGTTACAACCAGCCCTCAAGAATGAATTGAGTTCGTAAGTCAAGTATTCACTGCAGTTATTTCAAATGATATCTTTTACTGTCCCTATCTATAGCTCATTGATTTCAGAATCACCTGGATAATACCAATCAAGACTTGGGATGGAATCATCTAGTTAATACCAATCAAGTGGCATTTGATTTTGAGTTTGTGTCTGTGCACATAGCCATAAAATAAATACTAGGTGACTTGAAATTTCCGTAGCCTGAGAACTTTATAGTCTCACATCCCCACTCCACCTTGGAAGTTAAACTAGGAATGCCTACTTTAATTGTGAATATTTTCTGAGAGCCAGTCATTGATAGGCTTGTGTGCAAATCCCAGCATGGGATAATGCAGATGATGAGACTGATTTCTAGAAAAGGGGGACATGTGGAGAGTTTTTATTGGTTTTATAGAAAAGAGAAACATCAGAACATCCCCTTGGATGCTGCTATTTCCTTCACACAGCTGTGAGCAGAGTTCTAGTGACACAGTTACACTGTCACCAAGGCATAGCGGTGTTGGTGAACAGCTAGGGCCCAGTGCTCCAGAGGCTCACCTCCTGCCTGTGCCCATCCCAGGCCACCTCAGTCTCAGTTCAGCTCTGCCCAGAAGCCTGGCATGTGCTTTCTGGAGATGAGAACTCTTGTCCTCATTTCCAAGCTGCCTTCCCTCTGCCAGCCCAGTGCCCAAGGAAAGCCAGAGGGGAGGGAGACTTACCATCAAGGCCAGTGTCCGGATCTCCTAAAAACAACACCATGTAATTAGCCAAAGGGCATATCCAGAGGCACCTGGAGGGTCCCTTCTGCCCAGTCACAGTGCCATGAGGAGCACAGGTGGAGGGAGCAGGTGGGCTTCATGGCTCCCAGCCCTGTGCTACCCACACCTCTCCCTGAGGTTTGTAACCACTGGGCAGAGAACTATCAGCATTTCATAAGTCCAATGCTCCTCCTGGCTGTTCAGTGACAGATGCAGGCAAGCTCTAAAATCAACAGAAAACTCCCTTCCCCTTTAGCAAAGGTGGGAAGGAGGCAATCTCTTATTTCATTGATCTGCTGCTGGAGCCTCCCACGTTCTTTCCTCTTCTCCCAGAACCCAAGCTTGCCATACCTCTCCTTATATAGACACAGTATAGCAACGTACAGAACCACTCACAAAGTAGGTTAGCAGGATGATCATTGGCACCTTCTAAATGAACCCACACATGCACATGGACTCCCTTTGAGGAAGAATTCTCAATCCGGGGCGACTCTGTCTCCTAGGGGACCTTTGGTGATTACAACTGCAGCTGAAGTGTTCCTGGTAGCTAGTTAGGGGAGATCCAGTCTCCCATCCCACCACCATGATCATCAACCCTGAGTGTCAACAGGGCTAAGGTCAGGACACTTCGCTTTAAAAAGCAGGGAGCACATGAGCTTGAAATAGGATAAAACTGACAGTAAAGAGAGATGGGCTCCAGGAAGACAGATTCTACCATGTGAAAAGAGAGTCAGTCACATGTCCTGGAGAGTTGGAACACAGAGCTCTGGATGCCAGGGTGCTTCCACAGAGCCCCGATTTACTCAGAGACAGCTGAGCCCACACATCCAGGCCACCTGATGCTAAATAATGGGGAGCGTTTGCCTGGATGCTGCACAGCAGGAGGCCAAAGGGGCAGCACAGCTCTTGCTGGAAGTTCTGCTCAGTGGCCTGTTGAAAGTCAGGGCCGAAGTTCTCTAGGACATTTGGCTCACTCACCTGGAGGGCTTCATTGATGTTTCCATTGTAATCCACCATTTCTCCTTTCCCGGGTTCTCCCTTGGAGCCCTAGAAGGCAGATGAGATCTCAGCCAGGGTCTGACCGGGAGGAACCAAAGGGTCTGCAGCCCACACGGGCTGCATGTGCCTGAAGCCAGGGTGATTTGGAGTAGCCACAGTGGACCTATCAGGGCGTCCAGACACTCAAAGGATGCACGGTGTCTGCAGAACAGACGAGCAGCCTCTGTTTCAATAGTCAGGACAGACAGGCCTAGAGAAGCCCAAGTCCAAACATGGTGGCCATGCGGATCTCTCACCTGCCAGCACACTCTTTCCTTCCCTGTTTTCAAGACCCCATCATCCAGCTGCTTTGCACTGTGACTCTGCTTTGCACGAGAGATGAACTTACCTTGGGGCCAGCTGGTCCCTGTTCTCCAGCTTCTCCTGGCTGCCCCTGTTGCGTGACAAAATGAGAGAAAAACATTGATAAAGCTGGGTGCAGGGGAATCTGACGGCCCAGGTGGGCCATGTGTGAGGGGCCATGGAGGGGCTGGGAGGCTCATCTTAGCACAGGCCAGCAGGACAAAACACCCATGTGTATTAAAGTGTAAGCTCTGTCCCTTCAGGAACTGTTCCTGAACCCCTGCTGCCACCTCCTCTTCCTCTGAGCCTCCCGCCTGGCACTTGATGGCATTCCTCCTGTCCATATTAGCTGTCAGTAACTCCCCTTTGTCCCTCTGGCTGCCTCTCCCCAGTCCCCCCAGTCAGCTATTCCTTTGGGAGCAGGAGCCCTGCCCTATGTATCTCTTGATTTCCATTCTGCACAGGTGGCAAAGGCTCAGCCCCTGTTTCGCCCATTGTCTGGGTGCAGAACGATGGCCCCCAAAGCCCATCTGGTCTTTTAGGGGCCACTTTCCTTGTGAAAGAGCCAAACTACAGGATGAAGGGAGGGACTTAAATAAGTGAGGAGGGTACAGGTGTAGGGAAACTGGCCTCCCACAGTGGCTGGGGCTGGGGCTGGTGTTCGTGTCGGCAGGAGCAGGGCAGAGTGATGGCAGTGGAAGTCCAGTGTGAAAAACAAATCATAGGTCTAATTTTCTGGATATAATGTTAGTATTCAGGGGAAAAATTAAGATAGAAAGTGAAGATACAGGAAAAGGAGCCTTTGTTATTCCTCAAGTCTGATGACTACAGGCAGCCAGTTGGTGGAGTATTGAGTCATTGCCACCTCCAGGAGAGCTGTCCCTCTCCTCCCCACCTACGTCTGAGGGACACAAGCCTTTCAAAGGGAGCAGCTGGAGAGAGGGGAGGGCCCCTACCAGACCAGTGGCTTGGGGAATTGCCAGGAGCTGGGGTTTGGTGTCACTTGCCAGCCTGAGTGTCCCAACCCTGGGCTGGCTTTTGTACAACTGCTGTCCCCAGGAATGGTGCTGAAGCCTCAGGCCAACCGGGAGATGAAAGCCGGGGCCATGACCCATCAGCTTTGTGCCCCGGAGTCCAGCTCTGGGGTCCAGTCTAGGGACAGCCCGTTCCTTTCAGCAGACCCTCATCCCAAAGCTCATGGATGTGGGGGCACCTGTACCTTGTCTCCTTGCTGTCCTGGGGGGCCGGCCTGGCCATCGACACCCGCTTCTCCCTGGGGAAGAAGACAGATAAGGCATGAGGAGTAGAAGACGATCTTGCTGCTCCTCTTCTGGATTTAGTCTTTGGGGTCTTTTTCCCCACGGGCTTTCACTAACTCTCACTCATCTGCCTTGGATCCCTCTGTGGGCCCGGCCTGGTCGTACCTCCTCTGGAGGCCTTTCCTGCCTACTCCTTCCTCCCGTGAACTCTGTGCAATACATTGGTGTCTAGCTGCCCTGCCAGGCCCTCTCAGTTCTTGGTTAGTACACATGAGACCAGTCACAGCCCCCAGGGGACCCAGAACATTTGGGAAGGCACAACTCACTGGGTCCTGCCTGGGTGACAGAGGGGTACATGAGGGCCCTGAGCATCAGCAGAGGGGAATCCAGGAATCCCAGGACAGCAGGGAGAGAGAGAGAGGTGGGGGGGAGGCTTTGTCCAAATATTTCACTTGTTGGACCTGAGTTTGGAACACAGCCTTCTAGCTTTCCCTTCCCCTTGTCCCACGATGCAGGACAATGGTGGCCCAGCTCTCCAATTCCCCGCTGAGACACAAGCCACGGTAGGCCCTACGCCCTGGCTCAGTGGGATAACCCTGGGGCCAGGTGGCAGGGCTGCCATCGGTGAAGATGCCGCTCTGACCAGAATCTCTGCTCCAGCCATGGTCAGGGTGGCAAGTGGGCTTGGCCACAGGCCCTGCCTGTCACTTTACCTTGCCTGCCTGCCTGTCTCTAGGGACTCATGAAGCTCCCTAACTCTATCCTGTGAGGTATGGTTTTGTTTTTCCTGGTAGACTGTAAAGAAGGTGAGGAAAGGTTCCCTGCAGCCCCACTGTCCATGCAGGGCCCTGGATACGTGTTGGTGGGGTGACAACTGCATTGCCTCAAATCATGTAGACTAATTCACATCCTGTGAGCTAAGAAACCTCTTTTATCTCCCTTTGCTGCTGAAACAAACTGCCAGAAGACCAAGGTGCGCCATTGCAGTTTCCAGCCAGTGAGGGGAAAGTGAGGGTGCTCCATTAGCAGAGGTGTCTGCCGTTGCCCCCAACCCTGGCCCCTAGCTTGGCAGCACCAGGTGAGTTAAGCTGATCATTGCCCTGCAATTTATCCTGAGCCAGGATGGGGGCTTCGTGCTTATGCTAAGGCCCTGTGACCAGTAGTCCCTAACTGAGCTCCATTTGAGCCATCTGAAACCCAGGGAAACACGGATCTTCCAAGGTTGGTCACCTGCTTAGAAGCAGGAGCTTGGGCCATGTGACGTTTCCTGAATCCACTGGGGAAAATTACACACCTGGAGCAGGAGAAGGCTAGAGAAGTCGAGGTGTCCAGGACACAGAGTTCCTGAGAATGGGCTGAGGATAAAGACCACAGTCAGACATCCCCTTTGACACCAACTCCAGAAAAGACTCACCTTAGGTCCAGGGGGCCCAGGCAGCCCTGGGGGGCCTGGCTCCCCCCTGCCCCCTCCAATGGAGTTGCCAGCATCGCCCTTCTCTCCCTGAGGGTGGAAGGCAGAGTCAGGGCTGCTGGTTGACACCTCGCCTGCTATTTCCGCCCTCAGTTTAAAGGAGCAGAAAGGCTGGGTGCCCAAGGGACACTAAAGGGCCAAGGGCTCCCAACAGAGGTCTTCAGACCCTAGCCTAACCTGACCTGGCTGTGGAACTGAAGGGGAGCATGACACTGGTGACCTCGAGGGGACAGATTTAGAGCTAAAACAAGGGATCAGTCCATCAGCAATGGAGCTGGAGTGGTGTTTCCCAAAGTGTATTCCGTGGAATATGCCCCAGAAGGTCGGGAATATTTGACATTTGAAGAAAGGATCTGGTGGCTAGACTGTGCTGAGAAGAACTGCAGAGTATGAAGCTTTGTCAGCCCCCTCACTGCAGGGTGTTTAGAGCCTCCAGCAGGCTGGGGAGTAATGTGACTTTCCAAGGGGCCCATCTTGTGCAACTCTCCCCAGACTTATCCGACCTCAAGTCTTTTTTAAATGCCTTCATTTAAAAAATGCATTTAAATGAAATATCTTTCAGAGCTATGCCTGCAGAGTATGAAAGAAATCCAACCAGGTCATATCTACCAGGTTCCTTGAATTTGGTCATGTTTTGGCCAAGCAGGGCTTGTCTTGTGTCCTTCCCCCAAAACCAGAGTCTGACTGTGGTCCAGCCACTCTTCCTCCCAATCTGGGGGGTGGATACCTCCAGTGCTGGGGCCTGAGGGAAAGTGCAGGGCTGGGAAGGACATGGAGGCCTGAGGGAGAGCCAGATTCTGAGCTCACCCATACCTACCTTCTGTCCCAGGAGGCCAGGGAGCCCAGGGGAGCCAACAGCCCCTTTCTCACCCTGTGGGGAGATGCAGACAGCAGAGGTTAGGAGTCGTTTCTCTAGGATGTCTTTGCTTTCCTCCCTCCTGTCTGCCTGGGCCTCCTTGGGCCACCCATCCGCTTCCTCCCAGACCTTATCTTCCCTGGGCCACTCCACCTGGTGACAGCCTTTATCACTATCCCCACAGGACCTCGTCTCGTCTCACCCAGAACAGAGGACTAAAACTGGTCACAGATCACACCAAGGCCAGCAGCAGTTAGACCTTTTTGGGGTCCCTAAAGGAGAGGAGACATTCAGAAAGCCAGTGCTTGGAGACTCTCCCTTTCTTGGAAACTTTTCCACACCCTCATTATCTAGCTCAGAGGCCCCCATCCTTTCCTGCTCTTCTCCTCCTGTCTCGGGGTGGGGGGATACTATCTACCCAGAACCTTTCCTTTGAAGGAATAATTTGAGAAGTTTATTTTCTGCTGTAGGTTGAACTGTGCTCCCCCAGAGTCAAATGCTAAAGCCCTAGTTCCTTGTTCCTCAGAATGGTGCCTTATTTGGAAATCGGGTCCCTGCAGGTGTAATTTGTTAAGGCGAGTTCCTCCTGGACAGGGTGTCCTCTGCACTGTGCTGCTTTCCTTATAAATGGGGAAGTTCGACACATAGGACGAGTGCCATGTGAAGATGGAGGAGAAGAGGGGATGCTTCTGCTAGCCACGAACACCGGAGATCACCCAAACCACCAGCATATAGAGGAGAGGCAGGAGCAGACGCTCCCTCGTAGCCTCAGCAGAAGCCTTCCCTTCTCACAGCTGGGATTGACTTCTGGCCTTTAGAACCACGAGCAAACAGTTCTGTTGCAGTCCTCTGATGTGGCAGTTCCCTCACCAGCTTTGTCTACTGTTGACTGCTTTGATTTCCCCGGGACATGACTCACAGAGTACTCCTGTGATAATACGAACCCCGATCTCATTCCACAGGTGAAGCCTGCCAGGCCCAGGAGGGTATGTTCCTGGGAACAGTTCCCCACTCATTGTGTGGCCCAGCCCTCCCAGCCCAAGGTCTTCTACAGTTCCCCTTTCTGCGGCCTAAAAATCTTCCCTTTGCCTTCACAGATTGCCTGCTCGAGTTGGTTCGGGATATCATAACAAAACCCCCTAGTCCCGGGGGCCTGCACGGCAGGTCCTCTTCCCACAGTTCTGGAGCTTGGAAGTCTGAGATTGGGTGCCAGCAAGGCCAGGTTCTGGTGATGCCCTCCTCCTGGCTTGCAGATGGCTGCCTTCTCACTGTGACCTCACATGAGATAGATCTCTCTTCCTCTTCTTATGGGGCCACCAATCCCATTGGATTAGGGACTCACCCTTATGACTTCATGTCACCTTCATTATCTCCTAAAGCCCTATCCCCTAATATAGCCACCTTGAAGTCTAGGGCTTCAGCATATACATGTGATGGAACATAATTTCCATATCAGTGTCCCCTGTCAGGTCCCCAGGGAGAGCTTAGTCTCAGATCAGCATGAGAGGTGCCTGTCTCCATGGCACTAAGGAATGATGGTCCCCAGAGGCAATAACAGGAACTGGAGGCCCTGGGGCCATCATGTGGCCTGGTATCTCAGTGAACTTTCCAGCAGGGTCCCAAAAGATGGTAAGTCTGCAGGTATCACCCCCTTGCCACATGCCCTTAGGTACAAGCTGAATGATACAATGGCCTATAAGCGTCCAAGAGGAGTTGAGGAGGGCCAGGCAGGACCCCAGAGATGGGAGGGGAGTGAGGACTGAGGAGGCCATAGCCACATGGGCTGCTCCTGGGCTGTGCCCCAGCCTTGAGCATCCCCCCTAAAGAGGCTGGTCTAAAGGGAAAGGCTCAGGTCCTGCCCTGCAATGACCCTTTGCAGGGTCTCCCATCCATTGGACATTTGCTGGATAGCCAGTGGTTTCCAAAAGGGGTAGCATGCTCTGAGCACGGATTCTTCAGCTTTGCTGGCCCATCCTGCCATTCTCTGCTCCTGGCACACAGCAGCCAACACACCCACCATAGGTGAAGGGAACGGGGAAGGGGTCACTTGAATATACACTCATTTCCTAGCAAACCTGGGGACCCCGGCTTTCCTGCTACTCCTGGGTCTCCCTTTGAGATAAGAAGAGAAAGTCACCAATAAAAGAATGGTGTGGTGAGTGAGGTGAACGGGCAGGGATCAGAGACAGAGCTCCCAGGATGCTGTGCCAGTGAGCTCCTCTTCTAAGCTTTGTTAATGTTGCATAAGACACTGCCTTTTTAGGGCTTCCCAATGGACAGTTAGCATCTTAAAGGCTCTGAGAAGGCCTGAAGCAAAAAAATCCCGTGTAATATTGTTAATCCAGTAGTTCTCAAATTTCATTGACCACAGAAAAATTATTTTTCATATTACATCTCTTACTGGATGAGAATGAAAGAGAGTCCTGTAGGTACAGGGGACAAGAGGGTAATAATCACTGCCCATTATGGCTGGTGGGCTGCAGGCCAGGAAAGAGGAGAATACTGGAAGTGTATTCCTGACAAGTAGCTTAGCCAGGCCCGGGCTGGTCTGGGGGTGACTAAGAGCAAAACACAGCAGCCCCTCCTGCCAGCACCCTCCTCCCCAGTGGACATGCCATGCAGCCCAGAGCATTCCCTCTGAATCCATACCTTGGCTCCTGGGGTCCCTGACTCACCCTGTGTGGACAAAAGGAAGACTCAGGAAAAAAAATGTGCGAGACAAAAAGAACATGAGCAAGTGAGCAAAGGTGCCCTCTGCGTGGCGAGTGGGTGTTGGTAAAACATCTGACCAGGCTGGCTTTCCTCAGCTAGGCCAGAGGCCTCTTGGGCTCCCGAGTTGGAGGGCCCTCGCCTTCCTGCCTTCCTGTTGGTGAGGGTCATGGCAGGTGGGACCCCTGTGGGGTAACCCAGGAGGCAGAAGGAGGAGCCTCTGGTTTGGATGTGGCCCCCAGCCCCCAGTAGACCTACTGCAGAGATCAAGGCTGAGCATTCGTTCTTCTAGGTGCCTCCATCTGCCTGCCAGGTAATGGGTGTTGGGGCGGAGGTTCAGGGGAAAGACCCCTTGAGGTTGCCTCTTGCAGAGTTGGAAGCATGTAGTTACTGAGTTCTAGAACATGGGAAAGAGCTGTCTTCTGTGTGCCTACTGGCAGGCTGGAGAAGCCTCTAGCCCAGGCTGGTAAGTCTGCTTGCAGGGCTTAATTAAACGGTTGTGCATCTGGCACGAAAAACATTTCCTAATCCTGAGTGTCTCCTACTTGGCCCAGCGACCAGCCCACTGAGCCCTGCTGCCCCTGTCTGTTCTGGGCACCAGTTTGCCCATCCTGCCCCTATGGGTGGAGCCGCATCTACTGACCTTCATCCCAGCCACGGTGACTCCAGGAACCCCCTGGCAGAGAGAGAAAAAGGCATGAAGGCTTTCTGCAGTCAGAAGCAGCCTAGAGAAGGTGGCCAGTGTCCTCCTGGTGGGACGGGAGGAGGACTGTCACTTCTGCTGGCTCCTGGGGCCGAGGAGCCCAGTGCCGAGCTTGGCACCCTGAGCGGGCATCTGAGGATGCAGTGTGGGTGGCCCAGCTGCTGGACTTTCTGAATCACACCGGCAGGCACAGGAGGAACCACAGGGGGTTGTTGGGCTAGAGGGGATGTCCTTGGGAGGAGGGAACAATGAAGGAGGAAGAAATGGGAGGGGCTGGGCAGCGGTATGGAAGGATGGGGGAGGGGAGGGTAGCCAATGACGCTCAATGAAGGAGCCCGTGTTACCAAGCGCAGTTGGCCGTGAAGCCGGTCACTCTCACAGGTTCTTCTTTGGACCACTGCCCTCCCGCACCGGAGGGGGCTGAGAGAGAACCCTGTTTTCACATTGGCCCAAGAATGCTGCTCAGCAAATCCAAAGTGGAAGTGACTGTTTTGAGGATCCCAACTCCCCATTTGGGTCTCAGGACTGCAGTCAGAGCTGAGTTACCTCAGAAGGGTTTTATGACTGTGAGACCCAGGAAGAGGTCCAGCCACCTGTGGAGGAGGCTGGGCAAACTGGGCAGGGGACAGAGTAGAGGAAGCGTGTACCCCATCTTTGCAGCAAGCACAAGACACGCCGAAGCTCCAAGGAGGAGCTGGGACTGCAGGGGTTCCTAGAGCGTGGACAAGGGGGTGACAGAGGGGAGGGTGGCCCGGGGTGTATGAGGGGCAGGTACCTTGGCTCCATGCTTGCCTGGCATCCCCGGCATGCCCCGCTCTCCCTGCAGGAAGGAACAAGAGAAGCTGTGAGAACAGGGCCAGACTTAGGTCTGGGGCCTGCAAGGGTGTCAGTGAGCACGTGGGCCCAGAAGCTGCCTGACTGTCCAGCTCCCTGCGAGGTCTGCACATCCTGCTGTGGCCACAGCTGTGTGGTCCACACCCCTTGGTTACAGGACACCAAGTCACAGACTGAGAGCAGGAAGGGCCCCCAGAGACAGAGGCCACCGATGGAATCCGAGCCCAGGGAAGAAGGTGACATGCTCAAGACTCACTGCCCTCGGTGGCCAGCTGGGCCCAGATTGTGGTGTGAGACAGGGTGGTGGGCAGTGCAGCGCACATGGCTGCCGACCCGCCGCACCCCTCCCCGGCCCCTGCCTGCTACTTTGTGTCCATTTTTCCTGCACTATTGTGTAGACTGCTTTTTCTGCTGACTGAGTGACAAGGGTTCCCCTTGCTCTTCATCCTGGGCCTAACTCTTGCGAAGCCTGGACTCAGGCCTGCATATGTCCACATCACACCCCTTCCTGGCCCTGCCCATCCCCAGGCACCAGCCTAGCTGTGGCCTCTCCAGGGTGTTGTGGGCTGTGCTCCGCCATCTCAGCCCTGCTCCTCTTTATCTTCGACCTCTTTATCTCTCGGTGACAAGGCTGTATTGATGGGACGGAGTGAGGCAGGAAGGCCAGTTGCACCACAGGGAGATGGAGAGGAAATCAGTGACCAAAGGGCCAAGGGAAGGTATATCAAGACTTTAACGGGCTACACCAGGGGAGGAAGGAGGGCAGCTCCCGTCTCCATGAGTTGAACCATGAAGGATGTGTGAACCTGAAGCCAGGGCCCACAGTGCTGTCCAGCAAAGGTGACAGCTCTCAGCCTGTTTCAGCTTCTCCACCTGAAGGCCAGGGCTGTGGATGGGCCACACAGAGCCCTGCCAGGCCTGCTCCCAGGAAGCTGCCCTACGAGGCGCAAGTGCTGGACCTGTGGACCAGGCTGGCATTTTCACAGGCCCTGGGGCGGGCAGGGGGCACCTGGCCTCACCAGGCTTCACAGGTTCAGCTCTCTGCTCCCCCTTCTGTGCCATCTTAAGGGAAGTCCTGCTCCCCTTTCTTCCTGGACAAGGCTTCAGTGACTTTTACCCTCTGCCTCGGTGATGGGTCCTGGGCTGGTATCCAGGCAAGCTTCCAACACACGGGCTGGGTGAGGAGCCTTTCCTGCCCACAGTCTTCTCTGTCAGGCCCTGACCATGGGAAAGGGCCAGGTTCCTGGGAACAGTGTTCCGATGGCCACTCCCTTCCTGACCTCTTCACCTCTCATTCTGGGGTATGTCAACTATTATCTGTATCCTGCGAACACACACTGTCACACTTCCATGGTTTTCTGCCATTTCCTCAAAGTAAGCCCCTATGTATTGTTCGGGGTTCTGGTCAAATCCTGCCCCTCTGTGAAGCCCTTTGCCGACCCCCATGACTCAGTGCTGGCTGCTCAATGCCTCAGGGACCACTTTGCACTCATGACCTGCTCACACTTCAGCTTCATCCTCCTCTGAATTCTGCAGAAGGCCAAAATCTTTAGCTCCAAATGGCAAACTCCTTCCTCACCCCTGATGTGACCCCTTGGCCCCAGGTAGGGGTGGCAGAGCTGGCCTCGGGAGTGACCACAGCAGGCCTGTCCCATTTGTTAAGTTCCTTCTTACGGAAAGAGCACAGAAAGGCACAGCCCCAACTGCACTTGCCCTGCATGTGATGCTGGCCTTCCGAGCCCCCATCCATCTCCAAGGGTCCTTCTAATGTGGAGCAGCTGCTCCTCCTGTCTCTCTGCTAAGCAGTGGCTCAGAGGCCAGGAATGCTTGCCAGGGTTGTGTGGAGCAGGGCTTTGCACACAGCTTTGCTCTCTGCCCAGGTCCAGTTGTTCTTGTCTCGGGGCCACCCCGACATCACCTGATCTGATGTTCCATCCATTTCCACCAGGTGGTCACTGCAGGCTGCTCTTTCTCTGCTGGGTCCCCAGGTCTGTGTCCCTGGGGTGAAGGCAGTTCAGCCTGGGTCACTGAGAACAGGTGGACATTGGGGCTCCTGAATGTGCAGGGTTGCTCTGTAGCCAGCAGAGGGTGCCACAGGACCTCATCTGAGGTCTAATTCTTGCCACAGCTGCGGAGTCTCCTCCAGAAGGCCAGCCTTCCTTTGGAGCACCAGGTGTTCTAGCATTCCAGCTGACTTCACCGGGCAGACTCAGCCAGGAGGCCCCAGAGAGAGCCTCCTGGTGGAGGGGTGCAGGCGGAAGGTCAGCTTGGAAGTTCCCCACTGTTAGAGTCCTCTCGATTGCCCCTCTTTCTTTCCCCTGTCTGGTACACCCTCCCCTCAAGAGTCCTCATCCCACCCCCCCATCTGGGGAATCCGTGTGTCTGCTTTCCCTCTCTGGGTCCAGGCTCCTGGCTTGCACAATGTGAGTAGACCAGATGCTTGCTACCCACCTCCACCAGGCCAGCCCTGACCTTGCAGCTCTGCATCCTGTAGGAGGGAGGGAACCACAGCTGGAGGGTGAGGCTGGGTCTTTTGGCAGCTTCTTGGGGGAGCGACTCTTGACCTCTGGCTGAAATACATATCCAGGAGGAGCAGTGGGGCCCTACCCTCTCCTCTTTTCGCCCATAGAGAGACAGTCTAGGAAGAAGCCAGGCTTTTGTATCGCACACATCTCAGAAGAAATTGTGCTGAGCACCCCAGCAGGTGGGTATCTGGGCTAGCTGGAGTTGCCTTCAGCTCACGTTTGACTTGAGTGTGTAAAGAATTTGTGCACACACTGGAAATGGCCCCTGGGAGCCTTCTGGTGAGCAGCCCTGCTCATTAGAGTGGTGACCTCGGCCCTGCCCCTCCCCTCAGGGTCAAATGTCTTCATTCTGCAAATGACCCACTCCCTTGATCCCCCAGTCAGGGCAGGAAGCAGGGGTGCCCTCCTGACCCTCCTGTAGTTCACCCTACTCTCATTAGTCTTACTGCTCAGGTCTCCAGTCTGGGCTTCCCCAGCCTGGCCCCTGAGCTGGAGCCCTGGGCTTCCCCTAGACCAGGAAACACTGCTTCCTGGAGATTGGGTGAAGGGAGGCAGGGCCAGTCATCCTTCAGGGGCCCGCAGGCTGTGACAGGACTCATTTGCAGAGGATGCAGAGCTGGCAGTTGCTGAAGGACAGCGACCATGTTCATGAAGTGGTTCCCTGTGGCACATCTTTGTGAGATCTGCCCAGCGCCTCCTTTTCCAGGGCCCCGATGATGTCCTATTTCAAGGGTGTAGGCTGGGAACTGCTCAGTTCAGATCTGCTTACTCAGATCTGTGCTCATCTTCAGGGGCCTGGCTCTGTGAGTCTATCCAAGCCCATGGGCCCCCTTTCTCTCTACCTCTGACTTCCTTTGTCTTCCCAGAGGGGCGGCTCAGCCACCAATCTGGGCTATCTCACAGCTGGGCAGGTGGTGCTCTGAGCGTTGTAAAAGGTCTGGCCCGTTTGCCCACGTACAGTGGCAGAGGCAGCTGTCCACCTCTCTGGGAGGCTGGCCCTCTAAGCTTAGTGTCAAGAACTGATGCCTGGAGGGATGGGATGGGCTGCAGTCATTTCAGCTAAGAAGGTCAGGGGGACAGGTAGGTAGAGAGGGGTTGCCCTGGATGACCTGGAAGGCCCATCCAGCCCTTACGTAGGAGCTGCAGCTCAGGCTCCCCAGGGTCCAGCATCTGTGGGTCCTCTGTTCTCGCAGGCTCCAGGTGGGAGGACCTGTCCTTTCTGGAGAGGACAGGGTGGAGTGGGCTGCATTGGGCTGTGTGCAAGTGGCCTCTTAATTGGTGATTTACTTTCTGTTGAGCAAGCTGGGTGGGAAGTTGGCAAGAAGAGGGTGTAGAGGAAGTTGGGGGCGGTCTTCAAGGTCAGCTCTCTGGCCAACAAAGGTCGGGTGGAGGCTGGGGGATGAATGGACCTCCCTGACACAAGGCTGTGGGGAGGGGGTATTCTGGGCTGCAGGCAAGGCACACAGAGCCTTTGTTCTCTGTAGGGGTGGAGGAAGGGCATCTGACAGTGGGGAGTGGTCGAGGGCCCTGTCCCCGGCCAGAGAAGCTGTTGGGTGGGGATATGCCTTTCTCCTCTCTGAAGAGTTCCCAGGCTGTCTTTCCGGGAAAAGACAGCGGAGTTCCTGCTGCCCTGCCCCAGTGTGTCTCCAGGCCAGAGAGGACCGGATCCACGGATATCCTAGGTCCCTAGGGCTGGCAGGAAGTGATCTGGGGAATTACTGGGGTTGGGTGCCCTATTGAAGGGCAGGATTTTGGAAGGGCAGCTGGTTTGTAATCTCAATTTGAGATCAGTTGATTTTGTAGTTAGTTCCAAAAAGAAAAGTTCAGCTCTAATTAATCAATGGACTTTGGAGTGCAGGAGAAACAGGGCCCAGAGAGCACAGGGTGGGGGCTCCAGCCCCCATGAGGCTTCAGATCTGGGGACTGTGTTTCAGATCTGCTTTCATTTAAATGGTCTGGATGTCCCCACTGGGATTTCATGGCTTTGAAAGAAAATGCTGTCCTCACACCCACAGGCTCCCATTGGTACAAAACCCTGTGATGTATGGGACCAGGCCTGGGGTCACTACGGCCCTCTGGGGGTGCCGAGCTCAGGAAGATTTCTGGAACACGTGTCACCAGGGTCGAGAAGCACTGCCCTGGCTGTGTCAGTGGTCAGGGAGCCCCAACTCTCTGGGTCACTCAGCCGAGTGTGAGATGCAGGTGGTAAAGCCATCCTGGGCAGGGCTGTGAGCCAGAGAGACCCAGCTTCACGACTTCCTAGCTGCAGATGCCGAAGCCGCTTCTGTGTGCCTCACTTCACTCATCTATGAGCTGAGGCAAGAGTAATGCCCATCTCCAAGGGCTGTCACAGGGCAGAAGTAAATGGTGCACGCAGGGTGATGGGTACCCAGCCTAGCGTGTGCAAGAGGCCCAGAGGCAGTTACAACAATGCTGGTCATCATTCTGTAGACTCACATCCACCTCGAGAACTTTTCCTGACTGGCAGGCAGAATCGTCACACCCTGTGGTAGGAGTAAGGAAGCACCATCCGATCTCTTCCCTTGGGTGTCCTTGTCTCTGGGGACTGTTGCTAGAGCCTCTTGGTGGAGTAATTACAGTTGAGAGAGCCATGGCATGAGGCCTTGGTGTCCCTCCTCCTCTGGTCTAAAATTGCCTGGCTTGAGGCCTGCAGGAGGGAATGTGAGCCTTAGCCAGAGTCCTTCATGCAAACCCAGACTACATGGGTGACTGGCGCATTACCATGGTGAGACAAGTACCAGCTCTGATGCTCTTAGAGATAAGCCCCTTCGGGGTTTGTGACCCACATCCGTCTAACAATACTCATCAATCCTTGTGACAGAGCCACGGCTGAAAACACATTTTGCATCTTGCAACGTATTTAAAGTAGATCTGTGTCATAAATGTGGATCAAATAAATACCATATGGGTGCACAATAATACTCGCAGTGTCTAGGCAGGTGGGCTGGCCCAGAGCGGGTGTGGGGGCCATATGAGGGCTGCTGGCCACATTGGGCTTTGAGTTTAAGAAGCCAGTGGAGAAGCTGGCCTTGCTGGCCTTTGAGATGATACCACGCTCAGTCTGGCTGGCAGTGGGTGGCAATGGTAGATGGGACTTCATAGGCCGAGAAGCTAAACTCCACCTTGGAACAGCACAGGTGAAGCTCACGGAGAGGGCCCGTCTGTCCCCCCACAGGTCCCCTAGCACCTTGACAATGGGCTGGGGTTCACTTTGCTCAGCTCTGTGTTCCCAGCTGCCAGCACTGGTTTCTCCGGGGCAGGGGCAGACTCACCCTCCCAGCAGCTGTGACCAAGTGCCCTCCATGTAAGGCCTCCTGCCCACACCCTATTCCAGAGAGCAGAGAGGGCAGCAGAGAGAAAGAGGAGTGCTGGGCAGAGGAAAGGAACTGGGGATCAGCCAGCTCAGCTTGGAAAAACCACAGGGAGGGAGGGATGAGTTGGTTTACTTCCGGGGAATGGATTTATGAGACCTGGCTGCTGATTCCAGCATGGCTCTTCACCAGCTGAGCAACCTTGGGCAAAGTAATAACCCCTCTGGGCTTCTCATGTGTACCATAGAGATGATGAAGTTCCAACCATTGGGCCACGGCAGGGACTGAAAGTGACAGGGTGTGGCTGAACTTAGTCTGATACAGAGGTGCGAAGTACTGCCACACGAAGCTTTGGGCATCAAAGACAAGATTCTGCATCCTGGGATGCTGAGGGGATGCAAATATCTGCCTTGGCATGGTGATCATTGAGGCCAGCAGGCCCACTCTAGCGGGCTTGGGGCAGGAGGACAGGCCCTTGGAGTGTCCTAAGGAATGGCCCTGGTTCTTGGGGGTAGACCTGTGCTGTTGGTTATCAGGTCCCAGTGCTATCTGGCTGCTGTGGACCAGAAGGCACTGAGGCATTGGTGACAGGACAAGGGTCTCAGCGGAGTGAGGGCTGGCATGGGTTTGAAGGTGCTGAGACCACCAGCAGCCTGGCTGGCTGTGGGAGGCTGACGGCTGGGAGAAGCCTTCCAAAGATGAGAGAGGCAGAGGACTGAACCAGGGCCACAGCCCCACCAGATGGCCATGAGAAAAGGTCATCGTGGAAGAGCAAAGCTGGGTACTACGGCAGAGAAAGAAGGAACAGGGCACAGAGAGAAAGGGCTCTAGGCTGGGATGCCACTGACAGCCCTGGATATGGGTTAAAATGACTTGGACAAAGGATAGAGGAGATCAAGTTTCCTCCCACAGCCAGAGTCTGCTCCCCTGGAGAATGTTCAGCCAGCCTGTGTCCAGGAAGCCATGGATCTCTGAGCTGGAAGGGATTGTAAGCAGCCTCCAGCCTCTAATAGAAGCTTCTTTTCACACAGCCCAGACTACGAGTTCCTCCGCTGGCAGGGCCATTAGGAAGCTCCTCCAGCGGACCTGAAGTTGCTCTACCTGGAGAGTTACCCTTTCGCACTTCCTCCATCTTTCAGTCATGAAAAAGCAGAACAGCTCCGCCTTTCACTCCAGAGCACATGACAGCCTGAGCAGCTTCCTTTCCTACCCAGAGCAAACCTCCTGGCTTCCTGGGGCCAGGAGCTGCCTCTCAGCCGGAAGGATGGCACTCTTTTCTCTGCACCTTTGACACCAGCCTGGGTGGAATGATTCTCGCTACAGTCTACACCTAAGATTGCCACTTCACTGGGCCAGACCCACTAGCATCATGATGCCGGAGCCATCAGCAGAAGGTTCTCCGTTCTGGTTTAGAAGAACCAGACTTTCAGTTTGCAGGAGATGCAGATACCCGCCATGGTGCTATGCCAGCCGAGGGCAATGCCATGGCCTCTGGGGCCCCTCTGCTAGCCCCAGCCTTGTCACAGCTTGAAAGAGCTGGTGCAGCTGCTAATGGGAAAACCGACCCTGCACTGCACCAGGAGGCAGTAAATTTTGTGAGTCTGCATAAATGGATAGAAGTAGCCACGGGGGCTATAATTTCCACTTCCTGACACAATACAAACTTCTCAGTTTATGCAGAACTAATTAAAGATCTCTTAGGTCTCGCCATTTCACCCTCCAAGGGCCCATAAAACAAAGTGGGGACAGTAGTCACCCAACTGCAGCTCTGGAGGACTGCATCTGAGTGGAGGGGTCCTAGCTCGCCTTCCCCTCCCTGAGCCTCTCCTTCCTGCTGCTTCCCTCCCCCTGGAAGGCTCCGGAGGCTTCCTAGCCAGGGCCAGAGGGCTAGGGAAAGGCCTTCCAGCAGGTGGGACCACAGGAAGGACCCAGATGCAATTCCTGCACCGCTATTTCGAGCAAGGAGATTTGAGTAAGCCTGTTTCCTCTTTTACTAAACAGGAACAAAGTCATACCTGCCTCAGGGTGGTTTGGGGGTTAGAAAGAATGCAGACCACGTTGAGGGAGAGTGACTGACATGTAGCAGGTGCCCAGGAAGTAGTGAGTATTGCTAAGAGCATTACTTTGTGCTTCCAGTTATTGTAATGATTCCTTCTGGGCCTTGCTCCAATCATTTTGCCATCTAAAATACCATTATCTGTCCCTTCAAATTTACCACCCGAAGGAGCACAGCAGTCGCTTAGAAATGGACAGAACTGCTTGTCTACTCCTCTGATAAAGAAGAGCAGACCACTCCCTTCCTATGCCGATGCATGGTCATGTGACTTGTTTTGACCACAAACAGATACTGATACAAACAGATGCCGGGGAAGAGCTGGCCTAGTGTGCCTGCTGCCCTGGCTCGCCATGCCACGAGGACGCCTATGTGGCCTATGAGAGGACAAGAGGCCACCAGGAGGAGAGCAGTGGCCCCAAGCTCGCAGCCAGCACTGACTGTAAGACACATGCACACGCACCAGGCTGGCTTGGCCCCCAGCTGTCATCTGACAGCACAGGGGGTCTGGGTGAGACTGGAGGAACTCCCAGCTCCTCATTCCACAGAAGGAATGAATCACCATTTTAAGACAGCAAGTCTGAGCTAGCTTGTTACACAGCAAGAGATAAGTGACACCCACTCATCAGACAGCTCTTGGCTGTCTGGAATTCATTTCAGAGCAACTTCCAGTGGTGGCATTCAGAACAGTCTGGTCCCATCAGGGCCATTTGTGTAGAAATACTTCTGCCTGTCTGGCCTGGGAGCTGTCAGGGGGCAGGGGTGGCCTCCCACCAGTTCCCACTCCAAATGCAGCATGGACCTCAGCACCAGGGAGGGGGCACAGTCATCCTGTTTCCAACTTATCAGACCTGCAGTGGGCTGATGAGAACCTGGGTCCCCCAGGCCAGACACAGTCTCTTAGGTTGGTCAGAGAGACCATCTTGGCCAGAGGTCTTGCTGGGCTACCTACCTGCCCAAGGCCCAGTTCCCTGTGTGCCTCTTCCTTCCCCAAGTAGACATACTGAGCCCTCACAATCTGCCACCTGGGAGTTGAGGCTCACGAGGCAGTGTGTGTGCAGATGTGCATTGTGCACTACCTAGTCCTGGCCCTGTGTGTGCTGTGCCAAGGCCCACCCTGGGCACCCATGGGAGTGCCAGGGCTCTCCCCTCCTCCTCCTTTTTACCTTCCGGCCATGGAAGCCCTGGATCCCTGGATCTCCCTGGGGGAACAAAGAGGCCGTTTAAGTGGGTTTCTCAGTGCCAAACTGGTTGGTGCTGTTCTCTGCACAAAACCATCCCTCTTCCTCCCAAGGACTCCAAGTCTTCCTTCTCCTTCAAAACCCACCTCCCACCATCTCTGAGAAAACAGTTCTTGGTGTCTTTGAGGCCAACAGAAACTTTTCAGCCACTACACAGGGCTGAGGAATTCTGGGAAGGGTCAGCTTGGAAGGGTCTCAGGATACCTGACTGTTGTTTTTGGTTCCACCAACAACCCTTTTAGAAGCTGGACAAGTAACTGTCTCAGGGCTTTTGGCCTCCACAGTGTCAAAATAGTAAGAGAAGTTTGACACTTTGTACCTTTCATTCCCTGAGCCCTGGGTCCCCAGCTTCAAAATGAGAATCTTTGTGACACTGTGGGCTTCTGGGGCAAGGTTTCACAAGAGACCAGATGACCCCAGAGGCCTCCCCTGGGTCTGCCACCTGGCAGGAGGGCACTGTTCATTTGGAATATTGTGACCATGTCATAGGCAACTATGCAGGGAAGGACCGCGTTCTCTCTACGGCAGCCAGAGAACTTGCTGATCACCCTGAGTGCACAGGAAGGGCCATACATGTTGGATCCAAAGCAGTGTTTTGGAAGTGAGCCAAGCCTGATCCATCTTACTGTGCTCAGCCCTTTCCTCAGCAACCTTCCCTCGCTCCAGGAACAGTCCCCCCAGTGCAAGCCTCTATGAGGTAAGTTCTTACCTTTGGTCCTGGAGGCCCAGGTAAGCCCTGTGGAAGCAAGACAAAGGCAAGTGTCTGAGTTTAGTCACATTTATAGTGGGGCCTGGGGCCCAGTGACCCCCAGATAACTCTAACAAGAGAAAGGGAATGTTAGAACACTGCTTTAGCATATCCCAGAAGGGTAACTGAAACCTGTGGAGGGCATGTGGGGACAGCGGGCTCATGTCCCTCTCTGGAGCCATGTGGGCACTGTGGGCAACTCCTCTGTGCTTGTCCATTGGAAAGTAGGTCATTGGCATCGTGCTAAATTGACGGTGTGGTTTGGTCCAGATCCCCACCCACTTACCTCCCTGTTGGGACCCCTCACTGGAAAGCCGGCCTTGGCCAACAAGGCGTTGATTTGGTCCTTGGCCCTGCCCGCTATCTCCCTCTGCCCAGGGTGCTGTGACCACAGCATCTGGCTGTGGAGAGGTGGTGTGGGCGCAGGGGCCTACGGGAGCCCAAGGGAGAGGCCAGAAGGCCCAGCTGCAGACATGGGCCCGAGACAACCATGACTTCTATGTCTACTCTGTTTCACTTGGTTTGAAAACTCACTTTCTGGGTTTTTTCTTTTTTCTGGTACCAAGGATCAAACTCAGGATCTTGCACTTACGAGGCAGGCACAATGCCACTGAACTAAATCCCAGCTCTCTGGGTTTTTTTCTTTATAAACAACCTAACAAAGACTTATTGGCTTGGAGGGTAATAGTGAGCAAAGAACTGAATTTTGAACAAGTTTTGGTTTCATTGGCTTGGTTTGGTTCAGTTTTCTGAATTCACTTCTTTTTAGATTTTCCATTTTCCCATTTAAAGACGGGTGGATATGAGACTGATCTCTCTTTGGAGGTGCTGGGGAAAATTATGGAAAAGTTTAAAATCCATTTGGGGAGCCAACTGAGCTAGGAGCCAGCTACTTAGGCCCTTACACTACAGCACCAACCTTGCCAGCTGAGCAGGAGCCCAGCACAGAGGGACCCTGTGTTAGGCCTCAAGATGGGCAGTAGGGGTAGCTGAGGGGCCCAGGCAGGAAGCCAACTGGTCTAGAACGTGCCCGTGTCCACTGCGGGTCCACTGCGGGCTCCGCGTCTGGATCAATCCCAGAGAAACCTTCAGAGGAGCACAGACATTGTGTCCAGGACTCTGGGTCACAGCAGGAGACTCATTCATTGCTGTCTAAGCAGGCCCAGCCGCTCTGAAATTGCTACGGTGGGAGACTCCTTCCTGACATGCAGAAGGCTCACTTTATGACATTAAGCAAAAAGCTCCCAATGCAAACTGTTAAGTCACTCACAACCCTGCCAACCTGGAGAGTGTTTACGGGCAGGTCTGCAGGGGATAAAAAAGGAAGGAATCTCCAAAATGCTAATGAGGTGGACTCTGAATGTGGGGAAATAGGGGATATGTTCATTTTTCCTTCTTAATGTTCCAAGTTTTTCATAATGAGTGTATGATGTTTTTACCATCAGAGAAAACAAAGCCCATATTTTTAACCCATGGGAAAAATACTATTGAAAGGCAAGTTGACTCTGCTGTGACCGCTGGCCCTCTGATTGCACACAGAGTCAGTGTTTTCTGTAGGGGACAGCTAGCTTCTCCAAAGACACCCAGCTCCCTCTGAGTCACCCTGTTCTAGGCTCTGTTGTACTGAAGAGCTGAGGACAAGGTCTTCGCCAGGGCTTGAAAATAGGTGATTGGTGGCCAGTGAGTTTGCATCATGGCCCGAAAAGGGTGCTGCTGGCCTTCTGGAACTGTCCCAGCGAGGGCTCGATGCAGGGTCCCTGTGAAAGGGCATTCACTTTGGAAGATGGCCTAAGTGTGAAACCACACACACCCCAGAAGGTGTTCATCTGGGTCCAGGGTGTGGCGCACCCCCTGTGAATTCTTCCAGGACCTACTATCTCTGACTCAGGTTTTCCTAAGCCAAGGACCAGGGACAGTGGTCAAAGGTGGCCTTGGGGAGTTTCCCTCTTAGCTCCTCTGTGGAGAATGGGAAGGGGTCAGCCTATTAGAGGTCTCTGCCCTAGAAAGCCATGGCTGGCTGTGGCCCTGGCAGATGGGTTTCCAGGGCAACAGGAGAGTGTGCCAGGGACAGAGTCTTATTTGGGCCACCACGACCCAGGGACCTTGCTCAGGTGTTTCTGCCATTTGGTGGGAACCTGGATTCTCCTTGGTCATTCAAGGCTTGGAGGTTTGCAGAGAACTCTGGGGGCAAATCTTGAAGGAGAGGGGGAGGGGGTACTTACGGGTGGCCCCATCGGCCCTGGCAATCCTGGGTGCCCCAGAGGTCCACTTGGTCCAGGGGGGCCTGGTGGCCCTGGTGGGCCTTGAATGCCAGCCTGGCCCTGCTCACCCTGAGGTTTGTGGAGACAAGTGTTAGAGAGGAGACTCCAGAGCTGCAGAGGGGCCCCAGCCCTCACCATGCACCGTGGGAGGCCCCGCTGTGGGCTGTGCAGGGAAGGTGATGGTGACAGTGACAGTGGGTGAGATGGTGCTGTGATGGTGATGCATCCTGGTGGTGGTGACTACATGCAGGGACAGGTGGCAGTGAGAAGAGAGCCAAGACTTCAGGTCCCTAAGCGGCGGGGCTGCCAGAGGACTTGCTGTCCAGAGTAGCCATTTCCCAGGGCTCACGGCTGGCTGGCCTTGGTAGGGGGGTCTCTGCCACCCTCTCAGTGTGGCAAGTCATCTCTCAGCCCTAGAATGGGAACAGGAGTTCCTTGTTTCCTTTCTCAGCTTTTTGTGGTTTTGGGCCACCTGAACCAGAGGATCAAGTGAGATCCATGAGCCAAAGGTCATGGAATTTTGTTCGGCAGCGGACTTTATAAACCAAATTTGGATTGGTGGCTCTTGAACCACTGGGCCCACATTCCTGGGGGAGGAGTGGCCACCCTTTCACACTGAGCATGGGTTTTCTGGTTGCCTTGGTCCCCACCTTCCCCACCCTTTGTCACTCCTGCGATCTGCCTGAGCTCAGAGGGCAGCTTCATTTGCCACCTCGCCATGGGGGAAGGAGCTCTGGAGGGACTGTGGAATGTTTCATGTCTGTGTGGGGTACTGGTGCTTGTCCTGGCGCTACCCTCCCTCCTCAGCCAGCTGCTCTGGGCCCAGCCTTTGTCACCCACCATGCATGTTCCTAAAAACACCAACAGTCCAGGAAGCAGGCATATGGCACTGCATTCCTTCAGCAGCAGACATGGGACCTGGATCTTGGGGGTGGGGCAAGCCAGTTCTGCGTCTAGACCCAGGCCATGTTCTCTTTTCTCTCTCACTCCTCTTTCTCTTTCCTTCCTTCCTTCCTCACTCCCTCCCTCCTTCCTTTCTTCCTTCCTCTCTCTCTTTCTCCTTTTATGTTTCCTTTTTCCTTCCTGTTTGCCTCTTTCTTTCCTTTTTTTTTTTTTTTTTTTT